CCCAGATCAATAGAAATAATAATACGATGTCAGGACTAGTACAGATTAGGGACTAATCAATTAATCGACTTATTGTATTGAAAAGTCTAAAAGCCGAAGACAACTTCTGATAATTACCAATAATTACTTTGTTTATTATCACAAAGCCCAAATTGCAGAAGTCAGAATGAAGTCCTGAAATTATATCAACGAGTAAAACTCCAACCTGTAGGCTTTGGTGCGCAGGCACATCCTCCTATAGAGATGAAGAAGAAAATCTGGTGACAGATAAGACAACATGTTGAGGATCTGGAAGTAACATTTGGCAAAGCTTTTGGTATCAATTAGTAGCGGTGAAGAAGAAGATGCCAATAAGATATGACGGTATAGATTGTATACCACCTACCCAAGATGAGGTCAGAATGTCAATTAATTGGGTGAAGAATAATAAAGCAGCAGGTGCCGACTATTCAAGATCGCTGGTCAGATGCAGATCAGGAGCACGCACCCTTCACCACACTGTGTTACAGGGTATTATGTCTTTGGGCATATGTTTGTAACAGGCAAAAGGAATCGAGATAGACCCATGGTTCCTTTTAAGAATATGCATAGAATCACATTTTGAGTCGATTTATGCATGTCCGTCCGTCTATCCGTCCATGTATTTTTGTGAGCAAAATAAAGGTCGCATTTATGATCCGAATTGGATGAAATTTGGCGCAGACCATTGGTTTGGCCCAAAGACGAAATGTAAATTGTCCACCAAAGTCCCTGAAAATCATTCGATTTGCACGAATTTTGGTATAGCGTACTGAATTAAGTCGGCAATGATGGATATAGCTCCCATATATAGTTTGCCCGATTTTAGGTAAATGGTGCACTAAAGTCCCTGAAAATCTTAAGTGATTATTTATACTCTTTCGAGTCGAGCTTGATGATCTAAGTTTTGCAATGAAAAGGAAAGCCAGGAGAAGAACCTACGTACCCACCATAATGCGATGCGTTTCGCCGTTGGTTAAGCGGCTCATCAGGCATATTCGGCTATGTAATTATTAGATTTGCACAAATTTTGGCATAGCGTACTGAATTAAGTGTAGGATGACGTGTGTTAAATTTTGTACAAATCGGTTCAGATTTAGATATGGCTCCCATATATAGTTCCATCAAAGTCCCTGCAAATCTTTTGATTTGCACGAATTCTAGAATGATGTGTGTTAAGTTTCATGAAAATCGGTTCAGATTTAGATATAGCTCCCAAATATAGTTTCGTCCGATTTTAAGTAAGTGGTGCACCAAAGTCCCTGAAAATGAATTAAGTGTAAAATGACGTGTGATAAGTTTCGTGCAAATCGGTTCAGATTTAGATATAGCTCCCATATATATCGGTTCCGATTTAGATATAGTCCCCCTATATATTTTCGTCCCATTTGTGTTGGCGTTTCAAGAACCTCCGCCAAAGAAATCAAAAAAATATACCAAAAACCCGCCTCCATCTACGCCGTACTCAGACATTTTGGGTGAAGGCCTGCCTCTATTGCTCAATGGAAAAAGTACATATAGACATTGTGCATTATGATAAGCAAACGTTTCAAGAACCTCTGCCAAAGAAATCAAAAAATATACCAGTGCTCCGAGAAGACACACGTAGTTCAGTGCTCCGAGAAGACACATCCATCAGTTCTTTAAACACCATTAGTGGGTTCAATGACATTTCGAATGGATCTCATTAAACTTAATTTCTATAGATCCTTTTTGTGGACATCTGCGAGGTGTAATCAGCCAAGGCTCCAACGGATATCCAGCATCTCCTGTAATGAAATAGGTCTCATTTAGAGCAAGGGGGGAATTGCTGACTTCTAACAATAATTGAATAAGAACCATATATCGTTAGCTAAAATACAAAAAGGCGTAACTAACAAAAAATTGAAATTGACTTTGTTTATTGACGATATTCATTCAAAAAGTCAATTTTCAATTTTTTGTTAGTTACGCCTTTTTGCATTTTAGCTAACGATATATGGTTCTTATTCAATTAATGTTAGAAGCCAGCAATTCCCCCCTTGCTCTAAATGAGATCTTAAATCTTTTTGATGTAGGACGTTGGAATTTAAAATATCCCATAAATATATAAACGCCGGTTTATTAACTCGATAATATTTTTCAAACCTACAAAAAATGTTTTAAATAAATGTTTTAACATTTTCCAGTTGAAATTTCAAGTCATCAATTCCAACCATTTTTGAAATAAAAACACACAAAGTTTTCTTTTAAATTAGTATTCATTTTTTGCAAAAATATTTATTTTATTTTCTTAATCATTTGTTTCTTTTAGTTTTGTTGTTATATGAAAGTTTCTGATATTTTTGGGAAACTTGTTAAAGTTCTATGGCTCATCATTAAAACTAACCTAAAATTTAAACATTAAAAACCACACATTATTTTTTGAAAAAAACTCTTGTTTTGTTTCTAATAAAAAACAACAAGAAATACTATTTTTTGTGGATAAATAAATTGAAATAAAAAAACGTGAATTATTTACAAACTAAAAAAATAAAAACAAATAATAAACGTTGCTATGGTATTATTTTGATTAATAAAATTATGATGTAAAAGCTATAGCATCTTTTTTCCATTTTTTTGATTTTTGTTGTTGCAGCAGAGTGTTGTGTTAAAAATAATATTAATTAAAAAAAACCTAGTTTAATTGTTAATGATTTTCTTAAAAATGTAGTTATTAATAAAAATTTCCTTAAGATTTGATTTATAGAATTTATTTTTTATGGAATATACAAAAGGTTTTATGTGATTTTTTTAAATATATTTTTAAAAATAATTATGAAATTAAATTACAAAATATTTTTTTTGTATGGTATAGCATTTTTATGATGGTGATAGAAAATTTAGAATTTAGACTAAAAGTCATTGTATTGCAAATGAAAAAAGGAAATGATATATAAATTTAAGTTAAAACTAAACTAAAATAATATTGGTGGCTTACAATATAGGTATTTGTTTTTTTATTTTATAAATAATAATTTGTTCATATATTTTTTATATAAATATATATTTTGTTTGTTAATTTGATGTTTTATTAGTATGAAACTACTACTCCTATATTTATTTATATATATGCACAATGAATTTCAAAATTTTCTTTTGTGGTATTATTCTCAAATTTCATTATTTTGTACTACACATTTATCATTTTTTTCCATTATCATTAAACACACATCATTACATTGTTGTTGTAAGGAGTTTTCAATATTTTTTGTTTTTGGTATTGGAACTCATTGCAAAAGTAGAGTTTGTTTTAATTTGTCTGTATATCTGGAGGTGTTTAGGTTTTGTTATAGAAATTGTAGAAGAATCGTAGAAATGGGGAGAGATTTTCTGGATTTTTTTCTAAAGATCTAAACTAAATTGTATTTTTTGTTTAAAAGTTTGAATCTTTAGATTAGAAAGAGTTTTTTTTAAATACATTAAGATTAAAGATTTTGGAAATAATTATTTATTAACTGATCCCTTTAAACAGAACTATCGATTTATTAGTAAATATTTAAAAATTTGTATTTTTTAATTTGAATTTTATGTATTTCGAATATTTCTTAATTAATTAATATTAATTAATATTTAAAAATAAAAATTTGATAATTTTTTTTTTAAATATAATTGAACCCTGAAATAAATTTTGAAACATTTTAATTTCGGTAAAATTCGAAACGAATAGTAAAATTCAGAGTAGCGACTCGAATTCAAATTGGTTTCAAATTTTAGAGAAATAAACTTATGAGATTTTTTTAATTATGAGATTATTATAAGTAAAAAAATTGTAATTAGATTTCAACAAAAATCAATATTGAAAATTGTTTACTATTTTCATAAAAATATCAATATTTTAAATATTAATAAAATTTTGTTTTCTTTCAAGAATGTTAGATTTTTATAAATATTGAAAACAATTTTTTTAAATTGAAATTGAATTTTTTAATATTATTTTTTTAATATTCTAAACACAAAATTAAAAAAAAAATCAATATTGTAAAATTTTTACTACTTTCATAAAAATATCAATATTTTAAATATTAATAAAAATCTGTTTTCTTTCATTTTATATAAATATTAAAAACAATTTTTTTAATTAAAAAATTGAATTTTTTAATATTCAAAAAAAAAAAAAATTAGAATATTTATAAAAATTCAATATTTCAATTATTTATCAAACAAATATATATTTATGAAGTTTTAAAAATTTCCAAAATATTGATTTAAAAAAATTAAAAAAATCGATATGGAAAATTTTACGCATTTTTATAAAAATATCAATATTTTAAATATTAATAAAAACCGAAGTACTTTGCAGTAGTATCGATTTATTTTTAAAAATATTCAAAATAATTGGTATTTTTATTCGATTTTTGAATATTTATTAGTTGTTGCGAATGTTCAATTTTCATTAATTTCTATATGTTTTAATATTTATAAAAATTCAATATCTCAAATATTTATAAAAAATATTTAAAATAGTTAATTTTTATAAATAATTAGATATTTCAATTTTTGTAAATTATATATTATCAATATATTTTAAATGTTCATAAAAATTCAATATTTTAAATATATTGAGTTTTTAAGTACATTTTTGATCATGATTTTCGAATTTTTTAAATATTTTCTCACAATATCTATTTTAAAAAATGTTCAAGATATCAATTTTTCTTGTCAATACCAACTAATCTCAATAATTGTTTAATCCCCCATACATTTTTCAAATGTAAGAGAAAAAAAGAATAATCATTGTCCAAAACCTTTTATCTAAATTGTTGATTTCAAATCCATCACAGCAAATTCTTCTACAATTAAAATAAGAAAACCTAAAACCTCAAAATATACACTATACATATATATTTTTTTATAAAGCTATTCACATTCATTGGAAACCTCTTTGTAGTTGTTGTTTGCAGGAGAAATCTCTTGACAATATTTCTCTCAATAAAACTCCCTTTCTCTCCGTATCCTCGCATTTAACGTTTCAATTTCTTTACTATTCTACCTCTTAACGTTTGATGGGTAGAAGGAGGTGGCGGCGTTGCCAATACCGCCACTGATGGTGTCCCCGTCGTCGTCGTTCCCGCTGCCGGTGATGACGACGATGTCAGTACACCATTGCTACGCAAATTTACACGTTTACCAAATACCGCCGATACCACAGATTGCGTACCATTTGCCTGGGCAGCCCGTTGTTGTGAAATTAACGAACGTGCTCTTGTCGCCGCTGCAACTGCTGCTGCGGCATTTATCATTTTCGGTGAGGGAGGTGGTGCCGCCAAACTTGTACCCGTACTTTGTGATCTGGTGGTTTTACTGAAGTTGGTGGCTTGCACGGCAGGACCAATACGTGACGAACTACGTGTGTGTATGCTGCGCAGATTATTACGACGATCACTGAGGGAGGATGAGGCACGTTTTATCACAGGAGTAGATGCTGAAATCGGGGGTGGCGGTGAACCCACCAAGCTGTCTATTGAGGAATTATTATTGAGGTGAATAATATTCGGTATTGCCGCCGTCACTGCTGATGTGGGCGTCACCAAATTTTGTCGAGATCTTAAATTGAGATGATGTGGCGTCTGCTGAGCAGGCGGCATGGGACTCATTGTACTATTATTACGGGTTTTAATACTGCGATTGACGGTACCACTACATGTGCTGCCATTACCATTAAGAGATCTACGTTGTGTCGGTGTTAAGTGCTGATCCTGGATTAGAACAGCATTGCTTACAATCAGGGCTCCAGCTCCATTTCGTTGCAAAAATTTCCTTGTATTGTGGGGCAATTTTAAGGCTGACTGTACCATTGTTGATTTGGCTTTCATATCTTTGGTTAATGAATTCCTTGTCCGCAGGGTACGTTTACCATAATCTATGGGTGTGTTACTGCTATTGCTACGCAACTGCCTCATTATGGGCGTGGAAGCAGCTGTTGGAGGTGTCATTAGCAGAGACGAGGAGGTTTTAGAACTGCTACTCGTAGCCGGGGTCATACTTAGACTTCTCCTCTGGTTGTGGGAGTTGAAGAAGGCATGTTTGCTCCGACCTCTCGATGATATCCGTTCCACATTTTCATTTTGTACATTTGAGGAGCCATAAGCAAAGGCACGTCCTGTCCGCAGGCCATTCTTATTCGCCGCAACAGGCGTTGATGTTGTATTCAGGCAGGATGTGTTTGTTTTGCTTACACTCAAACATTGTCTTTTCTCAGGAGACGCCACCTTCAGTGGAGCCTTTTCTTCTTCTGCCACTTGATTTGATAATCTCCGCCTTCTACACACATCATACATTGAATCATCTTCCTGTAGAATTTCTATTTTTTCTATTGTCTCGATAACGGCGGGAGTTTTACTACATGTTGTTTCCACACATTCCTCATCTACCATGGCCTCTACCACCTCCGCCTCCTCCTCAATAATATCTTCCATTGTGGAGGAAGAGGATGAGATTTCATTGATTTGTACACAAGGTTCCACCGTAATTGTAACACTATCATCCACTTCTTCTATCAGATCATCTGTGGAATTCATTACAACGTCCATCGCCTTCTCCTCCATAATTGTGGGCAATGTGATAGGTTCCTGCTGCTGCTGATTGGCAACATAAACCGAGGCAGAAGTGCTGGGTGATGCATCATCATTGTGACGTATCGCTTGCAGGCAGGCATAGGAATTAATATTTTGCAGTTGTTGTTGTTGCTGCAGTCTTTCATATGCCACTTGCTGTTCTTCCTCCCGTTCTTGTTGTAGTAACGAGTGTAATTCCAACGGTTTCTGAGGCATATACTCCGCTGTCGGATGCAGATGACTATGTTCATAATAACTTTCCGTTGTGGTTGCTGTTGTCGTTGAGCTCGTGCTATACACCGCCATATTCTGCATATCTGGACGCGAATGCTGCTGATCACCGTTTGTGTGATGGAATATTTTAAATGTATCTACCGCTGAACTTTGAGATTTACACGACTGTTGTTCCCTTCTGGTTTCCAATTTTGTCAGAGAATAACCATCCTCTCCCGACATACACTGCTGTTGATACAACTGCTGCTCCTCGATGATGGCGTGCATATTTGGCGGTGAAACACTTTGGCAATTCGAGGAATTTGAACTGGAGTTTGAATTGGAATTTGTTGGTGTTATTAGAGATGCCACTGTGGTGGAAGGTACACTGTCTTCGATTACTTGGGCCGTGGATAACAGGGTATTGTATGACTCTGCAAAGGTGTTAATGTATGATGCAGCACCACTATTTGCCTCCTCGGAACCAATTTGTAGATAGTTTTGATAATCTATAACACAAACCTCGCGTGTTTCACTCTCAACACTGTGACTAGAGGTGGCATTATTTACAGTGTTAGCGACTTCGTCTTCTTCCTCCTCCTCTTCGTCATCCTCATCTTCGTCTATTTCATCATCATCTTCTTCTTCACCATCTTCCACATAGCCAGGTTCCTCTTCGGACACATGATGAGGATGATGGGTATTAACTTGATTTGAATGTTGCTGCCAATTCCAAGCATTTGTCTGCTGCAGGTGATAATTGTTGTGTGTAACAACACCATTTTGCATCAGCGATTTTGTACGTGTTTCTGCCGTTTCCTCACTATCACTTTCATCGGTATCCTCGCCATGATCCGAATCGTCGGCATAGTAATCGAAATTACGATACTCCTCGGGTGGTAAATATTTCATTGCCATCTCTTTGTAGGTGGTGGCATCATCGTATGTGGGAATTTCCGCTTGCACTTGGGTATACTCGAGACCATAGCTGGCTGGTTGTATAAAGGCTGGTGGTGTTGTTATTGCACTACCCACATCTTTGTGTATTTGATTTGTTGCATTGTGACCACCTTGACCCGGTGGATACAGTATCACAGTTACGACAGAGGTATTGTCGGCTCGCATTTTTTTCGACGACCACATCGACAGCGCCTGATCGACTAACGATTTGCTGGGATTTGTCCATTGTTGTCCCTCGTTGGGACAATCTCCACGGTGGGCCTGTAGCCGTTCATTAATTACTTCTTTTTCTCGTACAGTATTAACTGCCTCCTGGGGTGTAACCACATTCCAAAGGCCATCTGTGCCAAAGATTAGACAACGAAACGTTTTGGGATCTATGGGTATAACTTTAACATCGGGATCGGGGCTGACGACAAATTCATTGCGTTCGGAATTGTAACTCCATAAATCACCTAAACTACGGGCCACAGCCAGAAAGGGTATTTCATCGACTGGAGTTTTGTGTTTGATGGGACCACGATGGCTTGCTACAAATGGAGAAAGAGGGAGATTGTTTAATATAAATTATGGCTGGACGGTTAAGGTTGAATGTTGACGCTTACCATTTCTTGGACGATTCCATACAACTCGTGGTACACCTGATTTGACCACAACCTTGCCGCCAGATTTCATTATTCTTGTTCGTTCTTCCAGCGATTCTGGTTTATGATCAACCGTCAGCTGTTTGGCCCGCCAGAAATTTTCATTCTCATTTTGATAGCCCAATACAATGCCAGAATCTCCCACATGTCCTATGTAGATTTTTTCACGCCGTATAAAGGCTATTGTGGCTGTTGTACCAGCTGTACTGGGCAAACCATTGGCAGTTTTTGGCCATTTGTCTGAAAATGAAAATAAGAAAAAGGATAAATTAAAAATAAAAACAAGGAAATGTTAAAACTATTCCAAGGGCACCTGAACATCTTCAAATTTTAAAAGAAACAAGAATCTAATAATATCTTCTATATTCGTTGGGTAACTTAGAGGCCTTTACAATGTTAGTGACCGATCTCTACATAGACAAGTTACCGACGATCAAGGCCATCCATTCCTGTAAGCCTTTGGCAGAAGAAATTTCAATAGTTGATCTACACGGTATTTCAAATATTCCTTCTTTTGACACAGCGATGGTCTAGAGTATACCAAAGCCACCATCTATAAATTGGATACATCTATGTAGCTTTCTGTAAACGGGAAACCTACCCCACGTAATCTTTAGTGTTCCAGTACACAAGAACTGTTCAAAATTAAAAAGAAGAAATCGAAAATATTTTGATTAGAAGGAGGTTCTGGAACAAACCATATTTACATTTTTGAAGACCTGTTTCCTAATTTTATATGTAGGAGAACTCGATATATTTCCATGAATGCGTGCCAAATTCTTTTCTTATTCAACTGACATATTTTTTAATAAATGATTCTGCATATTGGTGCCATATGTTTGCGTTCCTGCCAGGCAAATCGATATCAATAAATAATTCTTCCATTTCTAGTTTATTTTTTGCATGCACTTTAATTAATCCTATTTCCCCGCCATTAAACATATGTGTCACTATTGCTCTCAGAGAAGAACTCTTTTTGAGAAGAGTCTAATTGTCAAATCTCCTCTGTCAAACCAATGGGCAAAGTGCGCGCCATTTATACATCAAGATATTGCATGCAAAGTGAATTTCCTACTTCCATAATACCACAACACCATTGAATGAGGTAAGCCGCATTAGCGCTAAATAAGAGGAACATAACAAAACACCATACAAAAACAACAATAACACAACAACAAAAGAAAAAACATGAAAACAATCATCAAAAGTGTAGCGGCAAATTAAGATAATCAAAACAAAAAATGCCAAACTTTTGTTTTGACTAATCAAACAACTAAACGATGGGCAGGAGGTGAGAGGGAGGTAGTTTTAAAGAATAATGCGTTACCCTACTAAACAATGAAAAGAGAAGGAACGAGTGAAGGAAAAAAATCAAAACAAACAAGTCGCTTAAAATAAAGAGGTGAATTTTATGGCAGCTACCATCCATATAAACACCAAAACAACATCCATCAAGTGTCAATAAAATGCGCGAAAAGCAAAACAAATCAAATCAGTGGGGATAAATTTAAATCTCCTCAAGCAGGGTTGCAATTGCAGTGATGATTAATTAAAACAAGTTAATCCCTGGTTTGTTACTATAGAAAAGCTACAAAAAAAAATTCCCATATCCTACTTTAATATTTCAGTTAAAAAATTCCCCTCTTTTTTCTAACGAAATTTACAATTCAAGAAATTCCATAATTTCCTGTTGAGAAATACAATTTAAAAAATATTTTTTTCTGTATAACAACATTTTTTGTTCGTATTTTGTGTGTATGGCGTTGTGTGTGCCGCTTTCATAAAAATGAAACACAATTTTCAATTTAACCATGACTGGCTGGCTGGCTGAGTCATAAAAGAGAAATACAAATACGAAAAAATACAGCAACAACATCGTTCACACTGATGGTATACACAAACGATGTTGCCGACTGAACGAACGCCTGCCTGACTTGCCAGCGTTAAAAGTGACTGGCTTATGTAAACTCAATAACCAGAGGGAAAAAATCCCCACCACCAGTGCCAGCCATATCGCACAAACAGCACAAAACAAAAGTATCAAATACACCATTTACCACACAATCGTTCACATGAACGCGCTCACACACACACAAACATCAACCTACTAAAATATACCACCACACAAATTAGCTGACGGCTGACATGGTCGGTCGTTCGTTCGTTCGCCGTTCATTCGATTGTTCAACACACGAATACGAAATATCGAACAAAGCAGAATGTGCGATAATTCTCATCGCCATTATAAAATAAAAAACCCACCAACAGAGAGTAGAGCTGCCTGCCTGTTTGGTTGGTTGCCTGACACAAAGCAAAACAAGGCAAGGCAAAATAATGATGGCAGCTGCAATGGTAATGGTGGTGGTGGGGATGGTATATACAAAAAATCGTTCAAATGAACGAACGAACCCGTATACAAATAATATACGCTATATACACAACACTGTTCAGTGTTGTGTGCGGCTGGCTGTGTTTTGCTTGCTTGTTTGTGCATGAAATGGGGGAAAAAGTAGTATTCATTGCCGCCGTCCGTTGGTTGTCATCGTTATTTCAGCACAAAAATGTTTTTAGGTATACCTATTATTGTCAGGGTTGGAAATGTGTATTGTTTTTATTTTAGGAATAGGTAGGTTGGTTGTTGCTAGGCTTATTTTATCGTTGAAACTTGTGATGTCTGATGATGAAATTTGAGTGCACAGTGTGTGCATTGATAGCATTTTGTTATGTGTCACCCCGTAATCAGTGTTATCGATGTTGTCAATAACCATGAGAATGAACAAAGAGTAAAGATTGTCATTTCAAATTCTACAGGAAAGTTGACAAATGCCATGAAGTTGCCACAACATAAGAATACATGTTTACATGAAATGTGTTTTAATAAAACTCGTCACTTAAACTAAATCGATAGTATAAGTTATACATTTTGAATGACATTTCGGCTCATCATTCAATAATCGATATAAAAACCGGCACTCAAACGACAAATTTGGTCGAATTGTGTAAATTTGATAAAATTTCTATATACCTTATTCCGTTATTATGTATTAAAATAATATTAACAGCAATTTTGTAAATTTTCGAATACACTAGTATTATTAAAAAATCAAAGAGTAAATATGACTGAACCGCCGATTTGTAGGCATGGGTGATATTTTTTGCTCCATAGTTCATATTTTATATATATATATATATATACAGTGGTGGTCACAGAATTAAAACATTTACTGTGGTAAACATTTTTCGATCAGCCCTCGATTCGTTTGACGTATTTTTGAAAATTTTTTAATTCAGAACACTTCGATATACTGCACTCAAGAGATTTAGTGTGAAAATGGAAAATTATTTCATGCAATTTTTCCATAAATAACGGTTTTTATGAAAATGCATCGACTTTGAAGTGGCCATATAATTAAAACATTGTGTGATTTTTTACTTTACTGCATTTTTTTGAAAATATTTTTAAAAAAAGTTCTTTAATTTAGTTAAATTATGTAAACTAAGCACCGATAAAATCATTTACTGATAATTTTTTTTTGAAAAAATCTGTAAAATCTATTAAAAGTGCCAAAAATGTGTTCAGTACACCTTACATTCAGAAAATAACCCTTATTATAGAAAATAAAGGTCCGAATGCACCAGAAATTGCTAGAATTAGTAGAAAACAATAAATAATTCTCAAAATAAATAAATATTTGAAATAAAAACTCAAAAAATTGGAATTAACCTAAAAAAACGATTCAATTTCGATAGCCTTTATTGAAGAAGGCCGGAATATTTTTGCAGTATTTGAGGAAATATCGATTGATATTGGCATTTATTATATCAAATCGATTGTTCGAGTAGTACAGAATATATTTCATCAAAAAAATTATCAGTCTTAACAGAACGAACAGAGATCAACACCTATGTTGACGAGAAAACGTTTCTGGTACACAGCAGCATGTTTGATGGTTAACTCTTGACCCTTAAAATCTACTGAACATGACAATATTTTTCCAAAATAATATTTTTTGAATAAAATAACGCCCATTTAATCTATTTTAGCCTAAAAGAAAGAAAATTTTTACAATTTGACAAATATTTAAAGTCTTGAGTTGAGCATCAAAAATGCTGCTGTGTGGCAGAAACTTTTACTCGTCAACATAGGCGTTTATCTCTGTTCTTTCTGTTGTGACTGGTATATTTTTTATAAAATATATTCTGTACTACTCGAACAATCGATTTGATATAATAAATGCAAATATCAATCGATATTTCCTCACATACTGCAAAAATATTCCGGCCTTCTTCAATAAAGGCTATCGAAATTGAATCGTTCTTTTAGGTTAATTCCAATTTTTTGAGTTTTTATTTCTAATATTTATTTATTTTGAGAATTATTTATTGTTTTCTACTAATTCTAGCAATTTCTGGTGCATTCGGACCTTTATTTTCTATAATAAGGGTTATTTTGTGAATGAAAGTGCACTGAACACATTTTTGGCATTTTTGATAGATTTTACAGATTTTTTCAAAAAATTTTATCAGTAAATGATTTTATCGCTGCTTAGTTTACATAATTTAACTAAATTAAAGAGCTTTTTTAAAAAATATTTTCAAAAAATGCAGTCAAGTAAAAAATCACACAATGTTTTAATTATATGGCCACTTCAAAGTCGATGTATTTTCATAAAAACCGTTATTTATGGAAAAATTGCATGAAATAATTTTCCATTTTCACACTAAATTTCTTGAGTGCAATATATCGATGTGTTCTGAATTAAAAAAATTTCAAAAATACTTCAAACGAATCGAGGGCTGATCAAAAAATGTTTACCACAGTAAATGTTTTAATTCTGTGACCACCACTGTATATCCCATATGTCTTAAATCGAAACAAATTTGTTAACCCATCAATTATAAACACCCAACCCTGTATAATATAATCTCAACGAATGTAAAGAATAAGCAGCAATAAAATGAACGAACTCAAAAACGAACAGTATGGCATCGTATGGTATGGCTTGGCTGACTGGCACTTTGGGAATATTCCATTGTTTAAGTGCAGCTGGCTGGCTGGCTTGGCTTTACTGGGGCTGAGTTAGGTAAAGAGAAACGCCGTCGCAGCCATCATCACCACAGTATATACAAGTTTCACAATTTGTTTTTGTGTTTTAAGGGTTGCCACTTCAATAAAACCTGAAATTCAAGGTAAACATGCAAAGAAGAAACCTGACATTTAAATGGCGAAACAACGAAAAGATGTAGGCGATGCCATTTTTTCGGTGTGTGTGTGTGTTTTTTACACGGAATGTTGGGGATTTGACATAAAGTGAGAGGAACAAGAGAATAAATGAAATCTATTGATTTTTGTTCAACATACATTATTGATGCATAGTGGCAACTCTTGGGTTGTTTGCTATACGTGACTTTTTCTATAAGGCAAATAATAAATGCTGATGACGACGAAGAAGAAGAAAAACAAGCAACACACAAACATACATATGGTATCGAATGGGGGGAAAATAAAATAATACCGAGTATATTTTATTTCGGTTAAAAAAAAAAAACGGAAAATACCCCAGAAAGGTTTTTTTTAAACAAACTCTCGGCTGTAGAGTGTTTTTATACAAAATGCCTCGCATAAAACCCACCAAGCCCATATGCATGATTTGTTTTAGATGTTGCCTGTAGATAGAAAACCTACAAAAGCCAATACACAAAAATGTACATAGCTGCTGCTGCCGTTGAACACAACTGAAACGACTGACTGTGTGTATACAATTTCAAAAAAACAAAAAAATATTTTGTAGGTATACAACGGTCGACGTTTGAAAATCGTATAATCAACGGCAGCAGCAACAACAACAACAGCCACACAGAAAACAAAACCAGCCAGATGCCAGTCGAAACAATTCGAACGAATGGTGGTGAAATTGGATTTTTTCCGTTGTGATGGTGATATGATGATTATATTGCTTGGCTGACTGGCTGGCAGCTTGTTTGTATTATTTTTATATAAGTAACGATAATTTTGTTTTCGTTTGTTCGTCGTTGCTTTGCTTTGCTGTGTGTGATACCTTGGGCCGTTTATTTGTTGTTGCTTGCATGCCCTCGTTGACGGCGTCATATGCTTGCTTGCTCGTGCTTGCTTCTTATACAAAAATTTTACCTTTATAATGCTGTTCATCGTTGCCGTCGATGTCGTTAACACGATGGAAAAAGAAACAACTTTTGAAATTATTTTCGTGTGTTGTATATTAGCAAGATAACACACGACGACGAGAAGTTTTTAGCAGCAGCACCAATTTTTATTAGCGGTTTTGTCCAAATGCATGCCTGACTAAAGGTTGTGGTCTATGATGATTAAAAGAGTAACACAAAACTTGAGTAGGATGGGTTAATATGTGTGGTGGTGCATGGTGAATGTTGAGTACTAGTAGAATAAGGAGAATCTAAACTAAAACGGTAACACCATCATCAGCATCACAACAACAGCCACCAAAAACGTAAAAAATGACATTCGACGGCCATCACACATCGGATGTGTGAACACGAACAAACGAACGACAGCATGAAATTAATGCATTAACGGCCGGTCAGGCAAAATGCAAATAGAAAGAAATTTTGACAGTTCTACTTTTAATTTTCTGATTACAGCGCCAAATGGCTATGAAACACAGTTTCACAGTAAACTTGCATATTTATGTTTATATGTGGGTATGTGTTTGTTTGATTGTGCCTGCCTCTGTGCAAATTGTGTGTTTGCTTTGCTATTTGTTATGGTTTGAAATGGGCGCGCAATGATTAATTTTTGTTTTTCTTGTTTTCTTTGACAAATGAAACGAATAGGCGGCAATGAAATGCTGTGGAATTGAAGAAATTCGAAAATTTAGCGATAATTAGAGAAGGAAACGGAAATTCAAATAAGACAAGAGTTGATATGGAATATGGTAACAAATGGATTGTAAAGGTGTATTGTTAGGGGTTTCCGACATAAAAAAATATGCTTGAAATTGTAAAAATTATTAAAAAAGAATGGGTAATCACAAATTTAACAATTGGATTATAATGAGTAATGTTTTTTCGTAAACTTTTACGAACGTAATTTAGAATAAAAATATTATAATTTTAAAATTGGAGAAGGAAACAAGCATTTAAATAGTAGATATGAAATATGATACAAATTTGGATTAAAAGAACATAATTGGTAGATTTGGAATTGTTTTTAGATTAAATTTAAAATTAGTTTGGCATTATAAGGTCGAAAGAGTGGACATTATGGAATTGAAATATATGAAAATGTAACGATTAATCTACTTTTTATATAGAAAATTATAAAAGTCGAAGTCGACTTTTGATCTGTGAGAAAACTGGAAAGTCGAATTTTAAAAATCGACTTTTGATTTTCTTCATAAGTACTTGATTTTTTATCACAAAACTGAAATTGCCTAAAAACTACTCATTACAGAATGTTACTGCATCTGTTGACAACAAATCATATAATAAGTCAAATTTTTAGTGAATTGATTTGGTAAAAGTCGAAAATCGATTTTGACAAAATCGAAGAATATAAAAGTCGAAATAAAAAAGTATTTTTAGTCAAAAGCAAAAAATGGAAAAGTATTAAAATCGACGTTTTGGTCAGAGGTAAAAATCGAAAAGCCCAAAAGTCGACTTTTGCCATCCAGTGCGTATCCTTAATTTGGTTATCTAGAAATTTAGTTTTGATTTTTTTTCACTTTTGCAAGTTTAATAAAATTAATATATTGTTTTTAAAAACAAAAAATAAGAAAGACCATATACAGTGGAAAATCGTTGACTTTTTCATACTGACTTTTTCTTACTGAAGACTGCAGAGCAAAGCTATATTTTAATTTATTCATAAATATTTATCATTATTAGTATTTTTTATTGGAAAAAAAGTTTATAGATCAAAAAAAATAATAAATAAGAAAATAGTTTTAAAAGATGCACAATGTAATACTCCATCGTTTAATCGCGAAATCGTTAAACCGGAGATCTACTGTATATATTTGTAAAATACTGTATTTGACTAGATATTATTATTAGCGAACTTAACTATAAAATGTGTTCAAATATTTCATATTCTTATCGAAAAAAGATTATATTTCTTTATGTTTTGTTTTTAAATTCCAAAAAAGAAAAAAACCAAACTACGTTCTTTCGAATTTGTTGAATTTGTTCAACTTTCGTACATCGACGTATTTCGGTAAAATTCATATAAATACATGTATTCTACTTTTGTGGTGAAAAACGTCGAACGAGCTAGTTGAATTTTAGGTTATAATTGACAATGGTTTGTCAAATGATTAATATAAAACCACTACAGCATAGTACAAGGTATGCCCGAAAATTATTCGAATCGTATCCGACACCTAGTCCCTCTGTCCTTTTGCAGTTTTTACAGAATAATCAAATGTAATTCTCAACAATATGATAATTGAGATATGTTCTGTTGTCTTAACATTAATTTGCAGCAAAACAATCCCGATCTGCTTATAAAACCAAATAATTGCAATTTAGAATTCCACCGGTTTATATTCCAATTACAGTTATATGGATTTTATTAAAAAGTGGAACTTAAAATGTGTTTTCTTATAGTTTATCCTTAAAATGGTTGACAAACAAATTTAAATAAAAAAATTAAAACATCTTTCACTGGCCTAAAGCCTAAACAAATCAACCAAAAATCTACATACAACAGGTCAACAACAAAAAGTGGAACAATGTTAACATATTTCGGTACTTCTATAGATATAAAATCAAACTCTTCGTTTGAAAAATACTCTGAGAATTTAATACATAATATTTGTTAGTACCCTTATATTGTATAAATTTTCTAAGATTTTACTTAAATATTGCAAGTTCAAGCATGATTCCACAATTTATATGCCAAGGCTTCGATATATACTTTGAATAAAAGGCATTCAAATTACGGAAAATGGGCGAAACCCATACACCGATATCTATCCTAAGTTTAACATCAATGTCTTCAAAAATATACTAAGATCATGTGAAAATCGGATAGACATAGGTCACCATTATCAAACAAAATGGGAAATAATAAACGAGTGTGGCCTCAATCGTTAACTATATCTTGTTTGCAGAATAAAATCCGGCTCCAAAGAATCTTTTTATAACTAATATTATTTTTTAATATGACTTAGAAATAGGACTATAAAGCAGTCCTAAGTGAGTTTTTATAGCCCTATTTCAAATTTTACATTGTACCGGATTTAGTTGACACAATGGGTTTTAATTATCAATTCCATTGCATATTTGTCAAATAAATCCTCATAAAGTAGGTTAACCCTGCAAAAATGCTTAATTATACTATTATTTCGATCCCCAACATTTTTCAATATCAATAACAACAATAATCCATTTATAACATATCTATCTCTAATTTCCTTTTTTGTATAGGTACTTAGCATATTAATCTCCCAAAAACTTACCTTGCTCCCTCCACATTGCGTAATGTGTTGCAATATAACCTTCACGTATGGCTCGCAGCACATCATGATCGGAATCTGACCAAAACAGTCGTTGATTTATTATTTCCATCATTAGATGTTCCTTGGCAAATGTAGCTGCCTCGGCACCACCATGACCATCATAGATACCAATGAATGCATATTCCAAATCTTTGGCATTTTCCGATTGTTGATATGCCACCGAAAAGTAATCTTCCATATATTTACGACCACCTTGACTACATTGTCCAGTTACCCGTAAATTAACACCTATTGAGGGTGTGGATTTTTTATCGGATGTAATGCTGGAATTTGAAGAATTTGGTGATAAGCTGCAGTTGGAATTAGTATCATTGGAACTGGTTGTTGTTGCTGTTGGGGATGTGGTATTACAATTCAGTAGTGATACCTCTGAACTGCTACAATACTGTGATGAACTGTCTGACGTCACAATGGGTGTTGTATAAAGTCCTTCGTTCAAGGATGTTAAAGGCGGTGTTATTGACGACGATGAGACTGGCATTGTTGTTATTGCTGTGGAAGGCATATGGGTATAACCCTGATGATGATGTTGATGGTGAGGATGCTGAGGATTCTGTTGTTGATGATTTGGCAGGATTTCGTGGCTTATATGTTGTGGCTGATGCTGCTGCTGTTGGAGATTTTGATATTGCTGCTCCTGGGCGGCATTGCTGTTGCTGGTGTTGTTGTTTATTAAGGTTTGCATTTTGTTTATATTTACAAAACGACACTTTGTCGTTGTTCTTGTTTTTGTTGTTGTTGCTGGTATTTATGTCTTTCTTTTCAGTTGTCGTTTGTATGTAGAAATTTGCTTGACATTTGCACTCTTCCCTTTTGAATGGTATTCTTGTGTTTGTTTTTGTTGTTTGTTTCACTATGTTTACAAAATGACGGCAGCTATCACCCTCACACATTCTAATGTGAGCGGTGTTGGTGCGAAAGAGAGAGAGCGAGAGCTGTGGCAGCAAACTCTTCTATTATTTTTTTGTCTTTGCTTTAATCTGTCTTTTCCTCCGCTGCTTCCTCTTCCTTCTCTCATACACAAACTTTATGCGCTATGTATTTTTTATTTTCTTTTTAAATCAGCCACAAACGACCTCTTTAATGTAATTTCTGTTTCTTCCTCATTAATTTCTGTGAGTTTCAGCAAAGGTTTCTACATTTTCCACTCTCAATTCAATGTAAAAATTTAATACATTTTTTCCGATAATTTTCCGTTTTTTATTTCAATCAAAATTTCAATGAATCATTTCGTTTTGAAAATATTTTTTTGAGCTCTGCTAAGTACTTTAATTAATTTTATTCAGTTTTTTTCTTTATTTCTTGTTAAAAATACAACGACGACACTACGACGTCTACGCGCTTCGACTGCAACTCTGTATCTGGCAAGAGCTGCCAAAAACAACATCTCGCCAGCCGTCTCTTTTCAAAAGAGTGTGACTGGCTGAGTGAGTGCGTGTGTGTGTGCGCCTATATAGTTGGTTGGGGGTATGTGTGAGTGTTGTTTTTGTTCAGTTGTGTATGTTTCGTTAATTCCTCTTTGTGCATTTCATTCGTAAGTATTTATGGGTTTTCTCGATTTCAACGGAAATATACTAAACATACAATTTCTAGACCCTGCAATGATAGCTGTTTTGTGTTTTAGGAAATTTTGAAGGATTTCAAAACAAATCAAGTCTGTCAATCCTTTAGAATAGGTGCGACAGGTAGAATTTTGTAAAAATCAATTTGAAAAATTTAATATTTTTTGCTTCTTTTTTATCTATACATGTATAGTAGATATGTATGTATAATTATGTATGTTTTAATATTGAAAAGTTTAAATACACTAAAATTGGCTTTATTAAAATGGATTTATTAAATGTTTTAATAATTTGTTGTAAAATTAGGGAACAGGCCCATCGCTATGTACAAATCGTTATGTTTATAATAATTCGTTTAATTAATAAAAAATATCTCATAGTTTTATTAATATTATTAGATTTGTCATTGAACAATTGTCAAATGTCGAAATTTATACCGCCACCGATTATTTGTCAAATTAGAGTCATAATTTGACAAATATTCGGTAGCTGTTCAACATTTGACAACCGTTCAACGCATTATGAAGTATTTACCATAATATGTGTACGAATACTTTCCGCACGGAAATAATTGTGAATTTCGCTATTCAATTACAGTTGAAATCTTTTTAATGACATATCGGCCATCCAAGAGTTAAAAAAAAAAAACTCAGCCCTTCATTTGATATCGTTATAAAGGATTATCACTTATAGTGGCCAATTTTTGATGGTCCCTTTTTTTTCTCGAAATTATGTATTTTACGTTGCAATTATACCAGGTAGACTACAGCACCTTACAAATGACAATTGTTTCTTGTTACGGCTTGTTATGTCAACATCATATACAAAATGTTTGTACACAAAATTTTTGTAAAAATATATAAAAATATTATATTTCCTATTCGATTATCTGCTAAAAACTTACATTCCACGTTTATGTGAATTATAGGATCAAGTCAATATTTATTTATTCTGACAGAACAAGCCTCAAGGTAGAGGTGTATTTTTTCTTCGTTGGCAAAAGCTAACCTACCTTGTATAACTGTACCATGGTTGCAATAAACATTTTTTAGTTTAATTTTAAATAATAACTTCTTTAGTTCTATTATTATCTACTTGTGTATTTTTTACTATACATAAACAATTTTTCTAGATATTGTCTTCTTTTTTTAAACAAATTTTAATTTCTGCTACTCTCTTATGAGAAATTACTGAGTAAATATTACGGGAAAAGTACACAGACAAACATATTAAGTTCCATTAAAATTGTGCAATTTTTTCATTTACAAAAAATAGTTTCTTTTTTCCAAAAACTGATATAAAATTAATTTATTTATAATTTCGAAGTAAAATTTTAACGAACACTAAACAAAAAAATGTGGTACATTGGATAGAATCATAGTACAATAATGTTGAGTTGAACAACAAAAAGCAACTCTGTATATAGTGCATTGTTCCGTCAGATATAAAATAAATAAACGAAACATATTGATGGGTTAATTTTTGACATAAAAACTAAGTTTTAGTAGTGAAGCTAGTTAAGGGGGATAATCTCAAATCCTTCAAAATCGAAACAACAATCATTTGGCACGCCTGTTACCATTTTTAGTCGGCCGAATTTTTCTAGTAAAAAGTTTATAAAGAGAACGCCATATTGGTTAATTTGGTTCCATGTTTTACTAATTTTGTGGGTACAGGAACGTGCCAATAGATTTAATTACTGTCCAAGTATAAAAAGTAGAAAAAACTGTCGAATTGCTCGATGAAACTGTCGAATTGCTCTATGAAACGAGTTATATAAATTTTTACATTGTACAATAATACAAGGTAGGGCAGCTTGAGTTGAATAATAAAAAAGCAACTATGTAGGTTGTGGCTTCTTCTGTCAAAATATTAAATAAATATACGCAACAAGTGGTTGAGTTTATTTGAATTTTTTAAATGTTTGTTTCACCTACAACAAAGTAATTACTTCCAGACGAACGCGTTAAAAATATAATTTTTATTCCAATTAAATTTGAATATATTTCAATTTATTTTGAATTTATTTGACATAGTATTCAAAACAATACACACACAAAATATGTATTTTGATTTGATGGAACAAGCCATATAAAAGTAATATAGCAATGTATTGATGTGTTATTTTTTTTACACAAAAACTGATTTTTGATGATAAAGCTAAATGAAAAACTAATAAAAATGACAAAATTATAAGAAAATCCTTCAAAATCATCACAACAGCTAATCAGAATTTCGCATTCTTGGTTATGTGCTTTTACACAATATGTATTTAACATATATGCTGTCACTTTTTCCATCCACATGTAATTCTTTTTGTGTGTCAAAATTAGCAGCGTGCACAAGACTTTTATTTTTTGCGTTCAAACCTGCATATGGGCACTTCCGCAGTCACTTACACAACGTACAGAGGCAAAATCAAACTTTAAATGTTAAATAAATCAAAAACAATTAAATTTTTTACAATTCGCCCTTAATATTTTTTAGTATAACAATATCACTATATTAGTATTTATTCTAAGAAAAAAAATATATCCAATGTGATCTTTGAATTTTTGGCGTTACTTCAAGTATTTAAGCACAATTAAGGAAACAAATTCTTCGACTTTGGTTTACCGTTTTGCCAGAAATGCCCATATATATTTTTCATATGACATAACCTATAAACAAAACAACACATTTTTTTCCTTAATCAACATATTTTTTATAATTTATAATTTTTGCCTTTTAATATATTTTTTGACTTGTAATTCAAATTTTTTCCGCTAACAATGTGTTTCTTTTAAACAGCTGATTCCTTTATGTTTCACATAAGAAAACTGAGCGAGCCCTATTCGGAAAAAAATACATATGTCATTACATATCGTTTTGACACATTGAAATTTCCGTATGTTTCACCTTTGCCAATCGTCCAAATTTCTCTAGTACTCCTTTATTTGGTTGTATGTTTTACTAGTGAATACAGGAACGGGTTTAATCAAAGTGTTTATTATTTCCATTGACCCTTTGTACCCCAATGTTTCGTGCCCATAGCACTATTTACTGTGCACAGATGTATTGCTAATATTTCTTTTTCATTTTATCAATTCTTTTTAAATGCCTATAGTGAGAAACTCGATCTAAGAACACCTAATTTCATGAAATTATTGTATGCAGTACTAATTTGTGTATTAAAATTGCACCCTTTTAATAATTTATAAATCTTGTAAAAAAGAACCTAGAGAATAACTTAAAGTAATTTTTCGTCGATATTGCATTTTCTTTTCTTAATTTTTGATTTTTATTTTTCAGAAAAAAAAGTACTGTATTTCCCGAGTAGCTGCATTTAATCTGTACACGGAAAATCATTCTATGATCACGGAAAAAATGGGGTTCATGGGGTTAAATTATTAGTTCCGTTCCAGAACCTAAAATAATCTACTAATTTTACAAGTTTTGTAACTTTTTACTCGAAACCCGTTCCTGAACCCACAAAACTGGTAAAACATTGAATCAAATATAAGAGAGCGCAAAATAAAATGGCGTTCTCTTTGCAAACTTTTTACTCGAGAAATTTGGCCGAGTAAAAATGGTAAACAGGAATGCCTACTTCTGATTGGCTGTTATGTTGATTTTGAAGTATTGCCATCTAATTTTGGCATATTTACCAGATTTGCGTTCCCGAACTTTTCAAATTATTTTGTACTCTGAGAGCGATTTTGAAATATTTCCCTTTTACTAGCTTTACTATTAAAAAAGTACTGGAACAGACCAATTCTGTATTCGGATTATACATATTTTACTCCCGATTTTTAATTATTTTAAAGACGTCCTAATAGTACGTTTACATTTAACCGGATTTCGTTTATTTGCATATATGTCAAATAAATCCTCATAAAGTAGGTTAACCCGGTAAAAAGTTCTAATGTATATGCCGTTTAAAGAACAATATAGAATATATGTACAGTATGTCCCGAATGCCGACTATATGATACCGTTCACCACTTTGAGTACATACAAGAGATCTACAATATACTGTAGAAAGATCAGACATAGAATCTTTGGAGGACAATTGAGATGGGATCGATCGAAAATAAATGTGCTATCTAGCTAGATATTTGAACCAATTGAAAAAAACCCCATACACATACCATTTTGAAATCAATAAAAAATTGCATGTCAAACGGCAGACTTGGATTCTTTGGTGTACCATTTGTATGAAATCAAGTAAAATTATATATGAGAGCTATATATAAACACATGGAATTAATTGATCAAACGTTGAATACACCATTTGGTTTTTGTTATTACTCTATATTTAATTTAATACCCTCTACCAAATTTCGTGTTAACCGAACAAACATAGGACCTTCGATGCACCATTTATATAAAATCGAACGAAAATGAACGATTTCAACAAACCTTATCACATATAATTTTTTTCTCAATTGCATTCGCTATGCAAAATTTTGCTCCAACGCACAAATTTTGGGAGTTTGGTGTACCATTCGCAATAAATCGGACGAATCTATATATGGAAGCTATATCTAAATCTGAACCGATTTTGACAAAACTTCGCAGACATCAGTCTGGACCTAATTCAGTACTATGTGCAAAATTTTGTCCCAATCGGACAAATATTGGGAGTTTGGTGCATCATTCCCATAAAATCGAACGAAAATATATATGGGATCTAAATCTGAACCGATTTTCTCCAATTTTAATAGGGTTCGTCCTTAGATCAAATAAGTGAACTGTGCCAAATTTCATCTAAATTGGATCATAAATGCGACCTGTACTTTCTTCACAAAAATACATGGGCGGACAGACGGACGGATATGCGTAAATCGACTCAGAAAGTTTTTCTATGCATATTCTCAAAATGAACCATGGGTCTATCTCGATTCCTTTTGCCTGTTACAAACATATGCACAAAGACATAATACCCTGTACAACAATGTGGTGAAGGGTATAAAAATTGAGCCCCTGTACTGTATTTAATATAAAGCATTTATACGTTACGTCCACAACACTGCACCAATAACTACGTAACGACAAATCTCTGACTAAATTAATTTCAACCCTGTTCGTATATTTTGCCGAATGGGTTTTAATGCAACCCTGTGCAATTCAGTATTGTGGCGGCATTTAAATGCAACACTCTTGCATATAATTCCACTACATATTCTCTTCTTCTTATTTTATCAGTAGTATGCCGCCAGAATGATTAGCTCCTTTTACAGCTATAGTTGTCTTCTTCTAATGCATCGAGTGGTGTATTGCTACAAGCATTGTTCACACTCAAGTGTGAAAGAGAGAGCGCGCATGAACTGTAAACAAAATGTCCTACAACACACAGTCAAACGAAATTTCAAAATTCATTTTCAACTGATGTTTTAAAGCCAAACAAGGTGCTGCCGGGGCAATTTAATAATTTCGGAATAAAAACAACAAAAAATAACGTGAAATACTTTAAACATTTGCTAAGAAAACATTATTTGAAAAAAAAAACTAAATTGGATACCAAGAAGTTTTTAACATTTTTACTAGTTTTTACAATTGTTATAAACTGTGACACCAACAACAACGAACACATCAATAAAATGGCTAACTATGAAAAAGAATGCAAGGAGATGCAATTTCTGACACACAAATATGTCAGTCAGATCACCAAGATCTGGGAACAATTATTCGAACAGGATGTGTGCCGAGACAACTTGCGCAAACTGGTCGAGCATGCCAATAACTTCTATAAGGAATTGGTGGAGGAATCACTGACGAGAAAATCTTATATAGAAGGAGAGATAAACGATTTGAAAAGAGAGGCGGAAAATTTAAAAAGGCTGCTGAATGTCGATGTAGAGTTGCCAACGTATGATATGGCGAATGTGCCGCTGTTGCGGGTACAATCGGAATTGGATAAAAGTTTGGAAAATTTGCGCGAACAGTTGAGGCAACGTAAAGATCAAATATGTGAACTGTTGTTGGAACAGGAAGCACTTTGCGAGGAACTTGGTGAACCGCCACGTGCTCTTTTGGCGGATCCTTTGCCGACGGCCGAAGAAATTGAAGAATTTCGACTTCATTTGGAGCGATTGCGAGAAGAGAGATCTGAACGTTTGAATCGTGTGTCGACAATGCGTAGAGATATTAAGAATTTCCTGCAAATTTTGGATCTGCAGGTGAACACAGAAACGGAAGATCGATTGCTCAATCATCGTGAAATACCAATGAATAAAGAAACATTTAATGGCCTGAAAAGGATGTATGACACATTTGGTGCCCAGGTACAAGAGTTGCGTGAAACCATTGATGGCATGCGCAACAAAATAAGTACGCTCTGGGCTCGTCTGCAAACCTCACCGAATACCCGCCATAAATTCAATCGCTACAAGGATTACAACCAACACACCTACGATGTTTTCTACAGTGAACTGCAACGTTGCGAACAATTGAAGAGTCAAAATATCAGATTGTATGTCCAGCAGATACGCGATGAAATCAAATTGTGGTGGGATAAGTGCCTGAAGAGTGACAAACAGAGAGAACGCTTCTCGGCATTTACCTCAAATTGCTTCACAGACGACTTGTTGGATTTACATGAACTGGAATTGGCCGATTGTAAACAGCATTATGAGACTAATAAGCAGATCTACGATTTATTTGCCGATCGTAACATTTTGTGGGATCGCATGGCGGCATTGGAAGCAAAGGCATCAGAACCTGGACGTTATAATAATCGAGGTGGTCAACTATTGAAAGAGGAAAAGGAGCGTAAAACAATCGCCACCAAGTTGCCGAAGATTGAGCAGCAAATAAGCGACTTGGTTAGGGTGTATGAGGAAAGGGAGCACTCGCCCTTTTTGGTTTATGGAGAAAATATAATTGAATACATGGTTAAGCAATGGGAGAGGAAACGCAAGGATAAGGAACAGTTGCAATCTGCACGTAAAAATGCCACCAAAACACCGGGACCATCGGCCATGAAAACAAATACAACAATGCGTACTCCAATGCGTACCCCAATGTCCTTGAAGAACGCCTCATCCATGTCGTCGTTAAGAAAGACACCATCTACAACCAATCTCACATCACAGACATCATTGTCGGCACAAAAACGTAGACTAAATCCCACTGATCGCGCCACACCTATGGCCAAACGTAGTCTAATGCAAGCTTTGAATAGCCCCAGTGTTTTTCTCAAACCCTCCACAACAAAAAACACGGGACAGCAATCTAAACTCCTCGGCTCAGCCTCAAAAGCCTCAACATTTAAATCACCCCTAAAGAAACCGAAAATAATTGGCACCACACTGCGGCGACGTAGTGGTCGTCAAAGTAATGGCGTGAAAAAACGTAGATCTATCAATAAGAACAGTTCAATGTCGAAGAATGTACCACGCATTGTGGTGGAAGAATGCCATTCATCCGATGGCTATACAACCGATTACAATGGCGACGATACATATGAATCGTTTCAGAAATGCATAGAACCCGCATCAAGATCATCAATTATTCAAGGCATCAGCCATCATTCATCGAGCAGCAGTGGCAGTAATACATCGCGTACCCGACGTATGCAAAAAATGGTAATGGATGAAAATGCACGTTTGGCCAAATTGCCCAGACCCCGGCCACCAAGTCGTACACCGTCCAAACAGAATGCCACCCATCACGGTAGTACAACAAATTTGGCAAGAACCCCCACAAACAGTCATCATCACTCGCCCGTAACATGTTCAACGGGTCGTAAGTTAACCACTAAGAATTTACCGATTATTATTTAAATGGAAAAAAAGTTATTTTTTTAAATTTATTTTTATTTTTTTCTTGTTTGTTAGGAGTCGATTTCCGGAAGGGATTCCAAATGGTTTTAGGACTTTAAAATTTTTCAGAAAAAAAAACAATCATTGAATTTGAAATCAAAATTAATTACCTAGTCTCAAGGAGGCCAATCGCTCTACACTCTTTTGGAAATCGACTTGATTCTTCTGTTTTTTGTAACTATATATTTTTTGGTGTTAGGTTTATTCTATATATATTTATGTTGGTTTAGCCTTTTGTTTGTAAAATGTACAACAATTTGATTTTGAAGAGAAATGGAAAAAGAGTGGACCAATCGTTTTTCATTTTTATGATTCAAATTACTATGGGAAGTTTTAAAGAATATTTAAAAACAAATATATTCCTAAATGATTTAACTTTGGTAGGATTCACATACTGTAAATTCTTTTTACATTTATAAAAATATTCGATCTAAAATTTAATGACTGGTCATACCCAAAAAAATCTTCAAAGTCAAATTTCTCAATTTTCATAACTATTTATATTTTTTGTTTATTTCTAAGTTTTAAATTGTAATATTAATAAGAGCCATATAACATTTCACCAGAGGGCAGATCGTTTGGTGGTAAAAGGATATTTAAATTTGTTATGTTTCTTTGTAAGTGGCTCAATTGCAATTTCAGTTAATTTTTTATTACGCTTATTTAGTTTTTTTATGTTTTACGTTTAAAGAACATTTTTTAAAAATGTGCTTTAAAATTATGATTTTTTTAAACAATTGTGAAAACAAACAACAACAAATGGTTTCTCTCAATATGTACTTAATAACAACAAACTGTTGACATCGTGACATTTTTAATTGATTAAAATAAATGAGATTTCTTTAAAGTTTTGAAAGTAAAAAAAAACATCGGTAATACAAATCAAGAAAAAAAGGGATAGTTAACATTTCACACAATAAGGCAAGAACGACATAATTATTTCACTATCTTTCCACCACAGGCATTTTTTTGTTAGGAAAAACCCCGTTAAAAATAATGAAATTTCAAAACTTTTTAGAAATTCCATATATTTTTTATACATTGTTGATATGACCACAAATAATAGCTATTATATACCAAGTAAATATTGACTTTTCTTTTAGCTAAGAAATGTTGTATATATTCTTGACACCCCAGTTTAGACACCCCAGTTCCCCGTCCCTCTTCTTTTTAATTTAATTTAAAATATTTGTGTAGTCAGGCCATTTTTTAACTATAAATTAACACTAAAACAAATGTATTATTTATATAAGAAAGTTTTTTTTATGATAATAAAATGTAAAAATACAAAACAATGTTTTTTATTCTAAATTTAAAATTGGTTTATTATTTAGCAGCTCTGAACAATATATAAAGTTTACTAGCAATCTGTACAACATAAACTTTCAGTTTTGTTGGGAAGAAGATGGATAACAACAACTTTAGCAAGGCAGCCTTTCTCCATATAGCGGGAGCCCTCTACAATTTAAAACTGCAGTCCATCCACCAAACACTCTTAACACAGAAATTTCTCCTATTCCAATTGAAAGACATGTTGTAATGCGGGAAAGTAGAAAAATCAACGCTAGAATTGGAGAGAGTTCCACAAGGTAAATACTCAAAAGAGGTACACCGCAGGATCTCGAGGGGGGTTCAATTACAATATAATCATGTACTCCATATAGAAGAGCTGGGGTCTGCAAACACACATCATGCACTGGTTATGGATGTTTTGTCTTGTGGTAGGTACATTGTAAAAGATAATTACTAATTATTAAATGTAGAAGTGAAATAATGCTATATATATTATTTTTGATATTTATTTGTTATTTTTCATAATTGTATGCTGCACTTAATACAGTTTGAGTCAACCACACTAAAATTTAGTACAAAATAAAAGAACAGTGCAACAAAAACAAATATGGTTTTCAGTTTCACCAGCGCACAGTGGGTTAGAGTACCATGTTTTCTTGGATCAAATCAGGGAAGCTATGTTAGAATAATTTTTCTTTATTTTTCATTAAAATAAGTTAAAAAAATGTTTTCTAAGTATATTTGAGTATAATTTTATTAAGTAGTGCCAAATATCAGTGTAGGTATATAGTGCAAGGAGTATAATATGATAACTTAAACCTTGAATTTTATACATCTTAAAGTTAATCATCCACATCGTCATCATCCGCAGCCAGGGATGGTCCGTATGACGAATTTTCAGGTTTTCGACTGTCAAAAAGGTGTAAACGTCGAAAACGTCATATACCTGTATAAAATGTCGTAAACGTCATTTATTTCAATATTATCACCATATACAGTAATTTTCAAGACCATATATTATTTTTACTGTATATCTGGCTATTCTTTACTAGAACTGATAAAAAATTCTGAATTTTTTTAAGAAAAAAATTTTGATATTCCATATGAATTTGAGTAAAGCATACGTTATTTCCAAATCGAAAAATGTAAATAGCTATTTTATAAATAATGGTTTTGAGTGGGTTTCCGACGTTTCTGACGTATGTATTATACGTCGTGAATGTATGTCATTTACGTCACTGTTTCTGACAGGCCATCTCTGTCCGCAGCATCACCAACTTCTGATAATTGCTCAATATGTAAAAGGGCATTTGACACAATTTCGGGTCCGTGAATAAAAAACTTGTGCAGAGTGTTAGGCATATTTCTCTAACTTAATTTAATTATGTTAGATTGTGTAGGAGTAGTTTTTATTATGGTATTTACGATTGTATGAATTTATGTTTTAATTTTTTGAATTTTTATGGTTATTTTTTTGGGGTAGTTTATCCTTTATTAGGTTAAGCATATCATATGCATTTTGTAATTTATCTTTAATGGGCCTGAAGGCTTTGAATTACAAGTTAAATAAAATTGAATTGAATTGAATTGAATATTATACCAATGATACGTTTCAACAAAAAGTCGTCCTGTATTGTGTGCATATATTTGAAATTTGTCATTATTAATCTCATGGCCACTGGATACAGCTATAACCGACACGTGCATTTTTATTAAATTAACATCCTACAGCTCAAACAGGTTTACGTGAGTCGTTTTTTTGTAATTGTTTTTATTGTTTAATGGCAAAATGTTAAAACATTACTTAACCATAATCTAATGGTACATATGTACTCTCGCTATTTTTTTCGTTTCCCTTGTGTTGCTGTTTTTGCAGCCTTCGTTTAATGGCAAAATTTACCAACTGAAGAAGATAAAGTAAAAGAACGATATCACTATACCCTTAACAGGGTGCCGCTCCGCAACAAACTGCTACTTGGAAACATTTAAAGAAGGAGAATCAACATTTATGAGTATACCCTGGCACCGCTTGACTTGAATCCACAGGATCGCCAACCCACAAAGCGGACGAACTCAAAAAAAAAAAAAATTAAATTAACATATATTTTTGTTATTTCGGCAGATTTTTTTCAGCGTTTTGGTGCGTTTTTTTGACTTCTTTAGCTAAAAATGTCATCTTGTCATTCATTGTTTGAGCGCTCGAATTCATCATAAGCTTCGACGATTATAAAAAACAACGTTCGACCTTGTACCTATAAAAAATGTTAATAAAGAACCCTTTTACCCGACTACTTGAAACTGCACAACACAATCACTATTTGTCAAAACAATAAATATTATTAAAATAAACAAAAACAAAATATTATTGTAAAATATTATTAAAAGAAACAAAAATAACAACAATAAAATAATTAGAAAAAATAACATGAAAAACAAGAAAACACAACACTCAACAACAGCACCAGCCACGAGATCAATGTGACTTTTAGCTAATTTGACTGCTGCAACACTTGTATTAAACAATGCATAGCTTCTAAAAGGCACAAAAGGGCAGCGTAAAATTTTGCAAAATAACACAGATTTATGTCCTCTTTAATATAAACCAAAAATTATGACACGAATGTGGACGAATAATAACTATTTATCCATTTAAAATATAAAAATATTAATTTTTTTGGGGTTTTCAATATAAATAACTAAATCTTAATCACTTCCAAACACAATTTCATACTCAAATGTTAACGAAGTATTTGCAAAATAACCTAAACTTCATGGTTCCGTTGAATTAGAATATCATGACATGTATTCTTGTTTGCAATACAATCAGATCTTAACCTATACAAAACATTTTATATGCGACAGGATTAATTATAAAAACTTGAGGGGGTTTTTTTACTCAAACGGCAAACATTTTACTGGAAATAATACAAGTCTTCTCTGTTTAATTTGTAATATGAATGAAATAGAAAATGACCTATATTCGCTCATTTAAGAAATTTGTGGACGTAAATGTATTCCCATTAGTAAGCTTCAGCATAAAAATGGATGCTATAGCATTCACGTCCGTGAATGTGTTAAGAAATGGATTCTGTGGTAAATACATTCTTGTATATCAAGAAGTGATTGAATGCATGTCTTAAATATAGAAATCTTATCATTTATGAATTTAATGTATAAAACTACCACTACAATTAGTATGGAACATTCATGTATGTATATGGGTAATATTGCCAATTTTTTAACCTAGCTGAAGCTGAGGTTCAGCCTCTATATAACACTGGAATTATTAAAGTGCCTGAGAAAAATTGAATAGTTTTGGATTTATTGATCTGTCGTTGCAAACTTTTCATTATATTGACCTCCAAAGTTTATGTACGTGGATGCAGTGTATACTTCAATGTAATAAAGGGTAAAAACAGGATGAGGCAACCATTAATTTCATGGCCTTTGTGCCAAAGTATCGCTTCGTTATGTATCGTTTTTCAAAAAAAAAATCTGCATCTACATTTTTAAATGATTCTGACATTTTGAAAGTGGATTTTGAGTGTTTTTTGTTTTAGTCTCAATGCGCAAGTATTCGCGAATCTGAGTAATTTGATATATATTTTTGGTATTTAGTATCACAGTAATGTTCATCCAAATGTAAAAACCCTATTTTTCCGGTGAAATCTTTATATCTGCCATTAGATTTATATGGGTCCCCGCGATCAGTTAGGTTTTTAATAGACCGCATTGAAATATGTATAGATCGATGTATTTTTTTTAAGGGCACACCGAAATTGGATGCGCGTCAAAATTATACACGTTTTACTAGATTTTGGGTACATCAATGAAACATGTAGTACATCTTAGCCGTCAAATGAAATTTCGCAAAATATAAATAGATTGGAAGATAAACTTCAGTATTTATTCCTATTTATAGAAGGCGTAAGTTTAGGATTTTTTATTTATGCCCAAAATTAAAACCTCGATAACATTTGCACGCACCAACCAAAAATTTGATCGCGATTCGGTGTCAGGACATTTTTCTCCATATGCGTACCAAAAATCATTGATGTGTAGTACAAAAAACAAGAAAACCCGATTTTTTGAAAATGGAATCTTGAAAAATTGGCAATATTGTTACAATAAAAACAGCAGCATGTAATATAATCAATTATGAATAATTAAAAAACAATATACCCTAAATAAAGAAACATTTAAAAAATTGAAAAAAGTTGTTATTTATTCAATTTAGTTTCTATCGATCCATTTGTCCGATTGTCTAAAATGAATTTTTTTACTCAAAGGTTTTAAATATAGAGTTTTTATTTTCATATTAAACACATTCATACACATATAATAAATAAATTACAATGATAATTTAATTTTCAAACGTACATAAATGCGAATGGATAGAAGTCACAAAATAGGTGTCATAGGTGTTTAAAAAAATAATTAAGAAAAATTCCTAGGAATAGTTTCTTTTGTCATATTTTTTTAACAATTTTTATTTTAATTTAATTAATTTGATATTCTTTTTTGTTTAATGCTATAAAGATAGTATATAAAAAATTTGCAGAATCGGTGTAGAATTATATATCTATGTATATCTGGACCTATATTTACCACTTTTTGTTCAAATTCCAATTTTAATCTACATTCAACATTAATTTCAACCATGTGCACAGTTAGAATCATTTTAGGATCTGTTTTAAATTGAAAGAGGCTGGTCAACGTCATTAATATTTTCTTATTTTTCATTCATATTTTCTTATTTTCGTTTTGGTATTCGCCATAGCTTTATGACGCCCCGTTTCCAAGTGTCTGTCCAACTGTTTATAGGTGCCAAATTTCTTATCACAATCACTGCACTCGAAATGTTTCTCCGAATGTACATCACGTAAATGTTTCTGTAGATTATCCTTACGTTTGAATGTCTTTTCACAGAGCTGGCATTCGAATGGCCGCAAATCGGTGTGTGTTAACATGTGACGTTTTATGTTACGTTGCATTTTAAATTGCAATGAACACAGGTCACAATGATAGCAATTTGTGGCGGGGTCACGTGTAAATATTCGTTCATTTATTGGTAACTCGCAGGAATCATTTTGATCTGTCTCATCTAATAGATGACTATATAATTCTCTGGATTGATTTTCTTCTTTATCAGGTATGAGTCTCTCCGAATGGACATCACGTAAATGTTTCTGTAGAATATCCTTCCGCTTGAAGGACTTTTCACAGAACTCGCATTGGAATGGTCGTAAATCGGTGTGTGTTAACATGTGCCGCTTTATGTTACGCAGAAGTTTAAATTGCAATGAACACATATCACAATGAAATAAATTCGTAGATGGATTACGTGTAAAGATGCGTTGGGGTGTTGGGTTTTCGGAGGATCCGTCTGGTTCATCTAATAAATGACTATATAATTCTCTATATAGACGTTCTTGTTTTTTCGTCATTATACCAGTTGTTGGATCAAAATGTTGTTGGTTTTTCTTTTCATTGTCATCATCTTCGTAGGCCTCTTCATCATCATTGTCATCGTGTTGGTGGCTATACGAATCCATAAATCCAACATTATTTTCATCATAATAACTATTGGAATCCATATAGTCCATAGATTCATTTGTAAAGCTATGCTGTTCATTAGATTGTGATACAATGTTTTCCGTTTCGTTTTCATATTCAGTTTGGATATTTGAATTTTTTGTACTATGCCTTTCCCCGGTGTAACAATTATATGAATCTATAAATTCTGTAGGCTCCACTAAAAAATTGAAGGAAGAGAAAATGGGAAGAAAAACATTAAAATTCGTCTAGGAAAGTACAGTATTTTTTATTTCTTTTTTTTTAGAAGGCCAAGCCAAAAGGCCTAGGCTACCAATTTTTATTATCTCCCATTAAATTGATGATATTAAGATAACAAAAATCCACAACCCACGTTTTATTATTAGTTGAAATTATACCAACCCCAAAATACACTTGCCTAAAGGTTTACATTTCTACAATAGCGTTCGTTATCTTTAGACATGGGCTATGTTACATATCGTACATACACATCACTTCATCTATTGAAATAGGATATGTCAATAGTGTACATGTGTGTGTACAAATAATGAAATGTTTATTTTGGGAGAGTTTAGTGATAAAGATGTTTCCTTTCGGCATTTGAGTGGAAATAATATTACGATTTTAAATTTGGGCTATGAGGGACTTCTTTATTTCACGGTCATACCTATAAAATAAAAATAATTTCATTAGCGAAAATAAGATGTATTCCTCAAATCATTATACAACCCAATTTTAAGCGTCCACGGGTTGCCGATAGTGGGAAGCCCAATAACATCCATTGGGTAGGGGCGAATCTAAATATTCAGTCGTAGAAAGTCAGCTGGTTTTGGGAGAGATTCTCTGAGGAAATGGCCGAGTGTCTATGATCTCAAAATCGACGGGTCAAGTTTGGCACTTATGTGACAGTTTGGAATCTTCCGATTTCAAAGTGTGATATTAATGTCCTGACATCATCAAAGCGGTCGATGGTTGTTGTGATTTGTTGGGTACATTCAACAGATGCATCCTTAAAGACGTCGCATTATTGAAGAACCATTAACATGAAATTGGACGAACTTAAATATGTGATCATTATCTGAACCGACTAACATCATCATTCCATACGGACGGAAATATATGGGAGGTATATCGTAATCTGAACCTGTTTCAACAAAACTTGATACACATACGGCTATACTAACTCTAGTACGTTATGTAAAACATTAAACCTATCTATCGGTCTATTTTTGGGTCTTTAAAGCTACATTTACTTAAAATCGGGCGAAAATATATATCAGAGCAATATCAAAATATGAATCGATTTTAATGAAACTTGCCAAAAAAATTTGTGCCAATGGACCATATTTTAGTTCTTTGGAGCACCATTTACATCAAATCGGACGAAAATATATTTCAGAGCTATATCTAAATCTGAACAGATTTTAACAAAACTTAAGACACAGTATTATAATCTTAATTCAAAACACTATGCAAAATTTTGTCTCAATCGGACAAACTTTGGGAATTTGGTGCACCATTTACATAAAATCGGACGAAATTGTATATGAGAGCTATACCTAAATCCGAACCGATTTCAACAAAACTTAACACACAATATTCTACACTTAATTCAATACGCTATGCAAACTTCCACCTCACAAACCTCCATCGGACAAACCTAGGGAGTTTAGTGCACAATTTTCATAAAATCGGGCGATAATATATATGGATGCTACATCTAAATCTGCATCGATTTTCTCAAATTTCAATAGGGTTTGTCCTTGGGCCAATTAAGTGGCATGTGCCTAATTTCATCCAAATCGGATAATAAATGCGTCCTGTACTTTGTTCACAAAAAACATGGGCGGTGGGACGAACATGCATAAATCGATTCAGATAGTGATTCTTGGCATATTCTTAAAAGTAACCAGGGGTAAATCTCGTTTTCTTTTCCATGTTACAAACACATGCACCAAACTGTGGTAAAGGGTATAAAGAGCCCGATATGTGTCCATTGATCCATTTAAATAGCATTACATTATACAAAGGGGTCAAGGTTAATTGGGGAAATAAGAAATCTGCAGAATTCCTTAGAAAAACAGTTAATGGTATTGGACAGGTTGTAAGCTGTCTATCGGATTTTTAGTGATCAAATCGGTTATTCAAATCGCTTCAAATAAAATTTACTAATTTATAATATTGGCCATATTAGAGGGCAGATGATAGGTTGGTTCAAATTAGATTCACCTGATATTATTATTATTTTTTTTATTTGAAAATTGTGATCCTTTGTGGGGGAGGTACCAGAAGCAGTGGACTAACGATTCCTATAATCGGACTTGATCTAGACTTGGTAGAGATAATAGGTTGTGCAAAGTTTGGTACAAATCGGACACTCCATTCGCCTGATATTTGGGGGAGGTACCAAAAGGAGTAGACCAATGGGTTCCATCTTTGGACATGGTAAAGATAATACGTTGTGCAAAGTTTGGTTAAAATCGGATAGTCCCCTCGCATGATATTATAAAATAATTTTTAGCAGAATTTTGACCATTTTGTGTGGGGAGTGAAACGATATTCCCCATTTTAAAACTTGATCTAAGTTTGGTAGTAACATTTCAACCAATGTGCAAAGTTTGGATAAAATTCCTTTGAGAGTTATCGTGCCCACCTGGCCGGCTGGTGGGACGGACGGTCGACTCCAAATTGTCTGAAACTAATACCAATATTTCCATGAGGTACATTTCAGCCGTATCAAAGTGTATATTAGAAGACTTGTATGATTGCACAAATGAAAATCACATCTCTCTGTAAAATTATTCAATAGTTTTATTTTATTAAATAAAATTTAAATTAATTCGTTTTTTTTTATAAATTAAAAATGGTTTTCTAATTCTAAACTAAAATCTAACTTAAATACAACAATATAATTATTATTTTTATTTATATTACATTTGTGTGGGGGGAGGTGGATGTGGTGGTGGCAAAATGGTTGCATCCATAGATGTTGCTGCCGCATGCGCCACTGCCAAACCTAGAGGAGCAGTCATCGGATTTAAAATGTGTTGGCCCAAATATAATGGCGGTGTTGATGAATTATCTATATGTTGTTGTTGCATTGCTGTTGTTGTTGTGTTTGCTATTGTTTTCTGGGGCAATGGTTCCGTTGCTTGCATTTGTTCCTCACCAGATAGCATATCATCAGCTGAAACATTGGTCCCACCTTGTACCTCACCAGGTTCAGCTTTACGTAAACGTCCCGTAAACGATGTAACAACAATGCCATGTACTGTCCTCAAATGGGCATTAAGCCCGTAACGTTGTAGGAATGCAGCACTACAAATATCACAGCGAAAACGTTCACCGGTGTGTCTGCGTATGTGGGCCTTCAAATCGTTGCTTTGGGCAAAGGCTTGGGGACATTGATTGCATTTGTAGGGTTTCTCACCGGTGTGGGTGCGCATGTGTATGGTTAGATTATAGGGACGATGGAAGCCTTTGCCGCATAAATTGCAGAGATTTGGTTTGAGACCAATGTGATACCTAAAGGGGGAGATGTGGATAATATAATAATGGATTAGTATTAGCAAAATAAAAATATGGAGAATTTCCAACCCACCTTTCATGCATTTTCAAATCCGTACTACGTGGAAAACCTTTTTCACAAAATCGACATTTGTATGGTTTTTCGCCAGTATGGCGCCGCATGTGAATTTTCAGATACTCGTTACGTTGAAATGAATCTCCACATATACTGCAAAGAAAATTCCTCGGTTGTGTGTGTTCCTTTTTCTGATGTTCCTTCATTTGTTCCTTTTCGGTGAACGTTTCCGGACAATGTTTACAGGCATAGAGACGATCAGTATGCAACAACTTGTGCTTTACCAAATAAGTTTTTGTTGTAAATTTCTTTTCACACATATCACATTCATATTGCGGCTTCGGGGCGGAAGGATTTTTATTGTGTCGCGTCTCAATGTGACGCATTAGATGATCTTTTCGTCCATAGGCATTGTCACAGCGGTCACATTTGAAATTCTTTTCCGCATGAATACTTTGTATGTGCTTCTGCAAGTGATCGGAACGGGTGAATCCTTTACTACAAAATTTACAAATGTGTGGCTTTTCATTGCTATGCGACAGCATGTGACGGAGCAAATGATTGTAGCGGGTAAATGTACGATTACATTCTTTACAGCGATTATCTTCGGGATTTGTGGAACCATGACGGCGTCGTGGTTTTCTTACTTTATTCGTAGTGGTCGCTGAATTTTCTTTTGGGGATTTTTTATTGTCTTTATGTATTTCCGGTTTTATGTCATGTTCAGTGTCTTCATCGTGGTCACCGCCTTCTTCATCATCATCGTAATTGTCTTCTTCGTCGTCGTCATCATCATCCTCACCATGTTTGAAATCTTCATCATCATCACTACTGCTATTATCATCATCACTATGATGATCATCGCCAAAGTAATGAAAATCGTCTTCATCATCATTATCAATATGTCCAGGTTCACGTTTTCCCTCAAATAATTCTGGTTTTTGTGATTCCAGAACCTGCACTGTGGGTTTTGTATCTTCCAATTGACCATCTTCATGTAATTTTATTAGTCTTTCCGTTTTAATGACATCATTATTATCATCGGTATGTTCAACTGAAAACAAACGCAAAATTCAAAATAAATGGACTTTAATGGAAATATATTCAACATTTTTAATACGAACCCTTAAGAATATTTTTAATTTGTTTATATTTTATATTTTGTTAGTTGGACACTGACATTTGCATCACATATCAATTTCATCATTACGAATTAGATGACAAAAGGGTTGTTATTTTTTTTAATTTAAAAACTACAAACATATGTGTTCCACCCCATTGTCTCTTGGTTAGTAACTTAGTTTATGTTAGGAAGGTATAAGGTAAGGTCAGACTCACCTTTTATTGATATTTCAGGTTGTGGGAAATTTTCTACAAAATTTTTAACATCCTCATCGTTCATATTATTGAAATTGTTCGGATCATTTGCCTCATCATCACTTGAGAAGGGATTAATTGCTGTTTCGGCCGTTTCATTTTGACTTGTCGATGCATCAGCTTCATCATCTTCGTTACAATAATCCGGCCAGTGACTACTGTAATTGTTAAGAGTGGTGGTGGTTGCCTGATTGTCTGAAGCATTGATTTGTATTTCAGGCTCATCCAGAGATATCTTGGAACTGAAAAAGAACAGAAATATTGGGTTTATGAGAAAAAAAAAAACAGTAAGGAAAATAGTAAAGTCGGACGGGACCGACTATATGATATCCTTCACTACTTTGGGTATAAATAACATATGCATTCTAACAGACGCATTTTTTAAGGAAATTGGATGAAACGACTTAGGTCAACCCATATACATGTCATTCTGCAACATATACTAAATTTTGGGTCCTTTACTTTATATCGGATATATGAGAGCTATATCTAAATCTGAACCGATTTCAACAAAACTTTGCATACATCAATCTGGACCTAATACAGTACGCTGTGCTAAATTTTATGCCAATTGGCCTAGCTTTGGGTCTTTGGTGCACCTTTAACTTAAAATCGGACAAAAATATATATAGGAGCTATTTCAATATTATTTTCTATTTCAACAAAACTTCGCGTACATCAATCTGGACCTACTTTAGTAGGTTGTGCAAAATATTGTAACAATCGGGCTAACTTTGGCTCTTTGGTGCACCATTTATTTAAAATCGGACGAAACTATATATGGGATTTATATCTAAATCTGAACCAATTTTAACAAAACTTCGTGTACATCAATCTGGACCTAATACAGTAAGCTGTGCAATATTTTGTGTCAATCGGCTAAACTTTGGGTTTTTGGTGCACAATTTACTTAATATCGGACTATACTATATATGGGAGCTATATCTAAATCTGAACCGATTTCAATAAAACTTCGCTTACATCAATCTGGACCTTATTTATTAGGCTGTGAAAAATTTTGTGTCAATCGGCCTAGCTTTGGGGTTTTGGTGCATCATTTACTTTAAATCGGACGAAACTATATATGGGAGCTATATCAAAATCGGAACCTATTTTAACACAATTTGGCATACATCAATCTCGACCTAATTTAGTAGGTTTTGCAAAATTTTGTACCTAATTCCGTACGCTGTGCAAAGTTTTGTGTCAATCGGCTTAACTTTGGTCAATCGGCTTAACTTAAATCAGACGAAAATATATATGGGAGCTATATGTAAATCTGAACCGATTTTTCCCAATTTCAATGGGGTTCGTCCTTGTGCCAATTAAATGAGCTGTGCCAAATTTCATCCAATTTACAATTTAACATGGACAGACAGACCTTGTGCCAATTAAATGAACCATTTGTCTATATGCCTTTTGCCTGTACGCACATATGCACAAAGACATAATAACCTGTACCACAGTGTGGTGAAGGGTATAAAAATCTGAAGGATCTATATTTAAATAAATTTCTTAGAATTAATTAATAGCAGACTTTATGCTTCCTATGGACAGATTATCTTTTTTATGGATTTTCTATGGCTATAAGGCCTTACTAGTTTCACACATATCCCCTATCTCAACACATCTACTTACATATTTAATTTGTCATCCTTGATCTTATGGACCTTAATCAAATGCCGTTTCAAATGATCCTTTCGCGTAAACTCTCGCGCACAGATGTAGCATTTGAAATCACAACGTATACCCTCATCGGGATGTGCCGTTGACAAGTGCACCTTTAGCTGGCCCAAATGATTGAATTTCTCTCCACAGACTCGGCACTTTTTACCATCGTATATGTGTGTTGAGGCCCGATGTTGACGCAATTCATGTTCCACAAAAAATTTCAATGGACAGGACTCACACTGGAATACCGTACTTTTTTCCGTTTGTGTATACTTATGTGCTATTCTGTTGCTGTCACAGCTACTAGTACTGTTATTGACAATATTCGGGCCTGTGGTAGTGGTGGGGACTGTGGGCGTCTCCTTGTTAATCCCATCCTTCTGTTGTTGTGTCGCCCAATTGATATCATATAGCGATTTTAGTCTACAATATGCCTCCTCAGTTTGCCGCTTAAAATTGTGGGCACTACGGGCCGTCTCCCTACAGTTAAGGCAAACCCTTGTGGGCAATTTATCATTACGTTCCACCGGATACTTTGTACACTCAGTCAATATCTCAGCTATAGAGTTTTCAAAGCCTGTTTGTACTTCAAATATAGGATACAGATTAGGATCGGCATTCATGCAAACTCGACATATCGATATGCTGTCGTCTTCTTCCACCATATTGGCCATGTTTTGTGCAATTGTAAATGGGTTTTCAAAACATTTCAATAATATTCCCAATATAATTCCAATTCTCTATCAACTTGTCTTTACTGAATGAAACAACCTAATTGAAAAGCGTTTAATTGGAAACGAATGAAGGGAGCAAAGAGAGAAGTCGTGATAAAAAATGCAATTGAAGCAAAATAGCCGATGACGGTATTATTTACGAAGGAGGATGAGGCATAACGCGGAATATCATCCCTTTGTTTAGAAAGAGACATGGAGGAGTTCAAATGAACGGTTCACTAAAAGGAGCGTAGAACTAAATTGTGATACGTCATTCAGTGTAAAATGGTTACACTCCGCTATCCACTGTAAAATGATAGTTTGTCACGTTATTCACTGTAAAATGTCATTAATGACTAGTTTGGTTTGCAAAAACTCCCTTCCCGCACTTTTTGATAGTAAATCCAGTAAAAGAGCATGGTAATATAATATAAGGTATGACAATTTGAGGTGAATATCAAAAAAAGCAACACTGTAGGTTGTGGCCTCTAAGTCAAATACATGGTATAACTATTACAAGGTAGGTCACAGCTACCATCTGATTACAATTTTTTCTCAAGGTGGCTTGTTCCATCAAATCAAAATACATATTTTGTGTATGTGTGTGTATTGTTTTGAATACTATGTAAAATAAATTGAAATATATTCAAATTTAATTGAAATTAAAATTAAGTTTTTAACACGTTCGTCTGGAAGTAATTACTTTGTTGTGGATGAAACAAACATTTTACGATATTCCCTACTGGATTATGGGAAGAAATCATAATCTTTCATTCATTTTTCGCGTTTTTAGTTTTGTGTTGAAAAAAATGTCAAATAAACACAAACACTTGTTGCGTATATTTATTATTTTTTTTTCTTTTCACACGTGCATATTTTTTTTGTTATTCAAGTCAAGCGTTTTTAGTTTTGTGTTAAAAAAATGTCAACATAAATTTCAACTAACTTTGTATATATATATATATATATATTTGGCACAATATGTATTTTGACGTGTAGTTGATATGACACGTTGAGAAAAAATTGTAAGTTATGTAACAATACAATTCAAGATAGACCATAGAAACTTATAAATTAAAATTTTTTCATATTGTGGCTGGTTATGCCAAAGTCGTATACAAAATAGGGGACTGTGTGTGTACATGTTTTGAAAAATATATGCAAAAATCCATTTGTTTACAGATGAATTTAGCAACATTGGTAAGAAGAAATTTATGATTTGTGGATGAATTAATATATAAATCATATTCCCAAAATTAATAAATAATCATATTCACAATTTTGAAAAGAAAACGCAACATTCCATTCATTTTTTCGCGTTTTTAATAAAATTTTAAATATATATCAAATGAACAGAACGACTTGTTGCATTTTGTTTTATTTATCATTATAACCCACAACGAAGAAGTGTATTTTTTCCATTTTTGATAAAAGATACCCTACCTTGTATAATTGTATAATGCGTATTAAGTCAATTAATAAAAGTTTCGTTCGTTTATTTTCCCAGTAACATTTACTCAGTAAGAATTTGCAGAGAGTAAATACGAATTTTTTGCTCTCAAGAGTGAAAATAACAAAAAGTAAACGAACAATATCCAGTAAAAAGATTGTATCGAAACAGATGATGAAAACAACAAACAATTTGTTGCACCAAAAACAGCATTTTTATTAGAAAAATTTATAAAAAGCGGAAATTTGATGTTGTTTGTTCTCCAAAAATATTAAAAAGGGTTGTGTCGGTTAAGTTTTAGTAATTTATTTGGAAATAATATAATGTTGATTGGCGTTCTACATATTAAGATTAAAGGATGGATTTGGAACCTAAAAAGTCGTTCGCCAATTTTTTCTTACATTATCGATTTTTATAAATACGTTTTCTTCATTCATTTTAATTAAAATAATCAATTAGCTTCAGAACAAAGCAGCTGATAAAATATCAGCTGATGGTACAAGAAAATTCTTACTGAGTAAATTTTCCTTGAAAGAATTTACAAATTGTTTTAGAGAAATAAAACAATAAAATATTTAGACCGCCGGAGTCTTTAAAGTAAGTATTTTTTTCCAACCCCCACCAGTTCCTAATTAGCAACACGTAATGCGGTGTACACACTATCATTTTTGAATGGCACTCTTGCCCAAATTTTGCTTGTTTGATAGTGTGGCCTCACATATTTGCATTCATCAAAACAAAAATTTTTGGTTGTTCAGTCACTAATCGATAAAAAAGTTGACAGTCAAAAATGATAGTGTGTACACCGCTTAAGTATGGCCTGTATACTTGTTGTGTTGTCTAATATTCATATTTATTGTTGTTCGTCTTTGTGCAACAAATATTTTCCCTGAACATTACTCTGTACATTTGGCCTGAGACCTATGTTTGCCATTCTTTGCCATTTGCAAGAATCTGTTATTTAGCAAAATTGTTTCTGATTCTCATTAAAAAATGTATAAAATTTTGTCAGTTTTTGTTTACGGGAGAAACAAATCCAACATTGATATTAAATTCAGTGAATACCCCTAATTTAATTCAATTGACATTCACAGTGAATGACTGCTTTCAATAACATATGATTTCTCCTGACACACTATTTTGACATTTCGTCTTCGGGGCCTCACTTGTTATTCAATTGAGGCAGCAGAGAATAAAATATTATTTTTTAACATAAATTTAATTAATCAAAGTGAATTATTAACGAAAATGTCTTTCCTGTTGAAAACACTTAAAACTCCCTTGATGGGAAGTGCCGTTAGCACAGTGTGTCAAACACAAATGCAAGCCAAACTTTTGCACACCTCACCGGTATGCTGTGAGATACGTAAATTGGCTCGTTTACGTGTGGTGGACAACAGTGACTTGGGCAAACGGGCTATGGCCGAGGGAAGGCCACCTCGTTGCATTCATGTCTACAACAAACGCGGCATAGGTTTGGTGGGAGACAAAGTTTTGGTTGCCATCAAGGGACAAATGAAAAAGGGCATTTTGGTGGGATTAAAACAAAAGCAGAAACCCAAAATTCCCAAATTTGACAGCAACAACCTGGTGTTGATCGATGACAATGGAACACCATTGGGAACACGTATCCATGTCCCAGTGCCCACAATTTTGCGAACAATACTAAAGGAGAAGACCCAGGCAAAGGGTGCCGATTATACTAAAGTTTTGGCCATAGCAAGTAGATTTATATAAAATATCACCATTGTTTAGATTCTTTGTTTAAAATAATAAAAGTTTATTGTTAAAAAATATCGAAATTTAAGCTGCTACAATGTTTGACGTTTGCGATCTTGTTCGGGGGAATCATTGGCATCACTTTGACGTTCACGTTTACGTTTTTTGGTGTGTTCTTGGACCATTTCGGAAACTGCAATGTTATTGAATTTCATACGAAGCCAATTGGTGAACTGCAAACGATGGAAGAGATACAAATAACATTGAGGTATAAAAGTAAAACTTCAAATCAAAAATAAATCCTTACCAAGATACTTGTTTTGACGCCAGAATCATACAGCTTGTTCTCTATGTCATCCAAACGATGTTCTGGTTTCCCAGTATCAGCTGCATTCTTGGAAATATCCAGTAGATGTCTCACCCGTTGACGCATTGTTTCAAATACAATTTTTCCCACCACATGATTTCGATCGTATGGAGTTAAATAACGACCATATTCATAAAAATATGGATGCAGCTTTCCCAATTCTATATGTGTGGTTTCTGCCTCGCACACAGCCTTATGGACATTTTTATAGATTTCCGGTACACACACAGTGAAATATGGATTATTAACTTTCAACTCTTTTATATACCAAAGTGGAAGGTTTATGGTGCGTCCAGGATTTAAATCTTCAGAATCAGCTCCGGAATCAAGGAAACCTAAAATAAATTGATGTCAATTGTTTTCTTGCAATTTGATATGTTTCGGCGTTCTACTTACCCATTTTCAAAAGTTTTGTATTAACTCTACATTCTACTTTTTCTTGTGTAACGAATATATCTTCCACAGCATAGTAATTGGGGAAATAGCTCTGGGCATTCATTATGTGGGTTGTTTTTCAAAATAAACTGAAAGAAAATGTAATAAGGGGATATTACATTGGGATGTATAGAATTGCATTCTTTATTTAGTGATCTCTTCAGGAGAATAGAGTACTAAATGGGCTAAAATGTATTGTCGTTTCCAAATAGAGCTCTGGATATTTGGCCCATAAAATAGTTCACTTTTTTTCAAAATTACTTTCAAGATAAAGTAAGTACTTTTCTATGGTATTGGGAACCGAACAACCTTTGTGTGTGGACCGATTCGGTCCGAATACCTAACAATGGACACCTCGGAAGTGTCCGGTCTGCAGACGGGTCAAACTGATCTGCGACAGGGCTTAAGGTAATTTGTTTTGCTATTAATTTGCTTACAGTAATTCACAGGTTAAAATTATATTTTCTTCTTTTTACCTTTCAAATTTGTCTTATAAATTTTTTTGTATGTTGTTGCTTATGTTGCATAAATTTAATAATAAAACATATTTTTGTTAATTGGGCACACTTGAAACAACGGGAACAAGTGAAAGACGCGTTCTGTTGAATGAATTCTTGAAAGTGATCGTTTGGCCTTACAAAGCCGACATTTTCAAAATCTTCGGCATTAAATGAGGAGAAATATGGAACAAAACAAAACCGATTACAAGACAGAATCAAAACAAAAATGCTTGAACAATTGCAAAAATTTTGGCGCGAAACAGCTGATAGACCGATGTTGACATGTTATTCACTATAGACTGATAACAAGGCAGATATATGAAAAAGGTGCTGGTTGTGGAAACAGTAATATCAATTTAGCGATTTTAAAATTAAAATATAAAAAATATATATTCTAAAATCCATTAGTTAATGTTGAATTTTACAACATTGGTAACAAGGTTTATTCAATATTTTAATTCGATCCAAAATATATGTGCACATAACTATCATTACGCTTTTGAATGATATTTTTAGTTTTTATCATGTTTTGATTGGTATTTCGTGATTAAAATGTTGACTGCAAGACTTCTCTTGCAACCATGGTATTATTATTATTAAGTGGTATGCCCAGCAAATATTTTTTTCCAAATCTCTGAACAAATTGACGATTCGGATGTCAAATTCGTTCTCAAAGTTATTGTGAAATTCTGAAGGAAACTTAGGATTTCTGAGAGAGTTCGGTCGGAAATATAGGAAGAAAATTCTTGTGAAATTCGGAAGAAAATTTAGATTTTTTGATTGCAATTTGACCGAATTCTAATTTAAAAAAAATAATATTTTCGAAAAAAAAGTTTATATATGTATGTGTGTGTATTGTTCTGAATACCATTTCAAATAAATTTACATTAAATTGAAATATATTCAAATTTATGGGTCGATTACCGATGGCAACCATAGTTTACTTGCGTTGCCAGTTGCCAAATTTGCATTATGGATGACAACTGTTGTCAACTTCAGTTGCTGTTTATAATAACTGAACTTTGTAGGCTTCCCATAATGGTTAATATTACTACAAAAGAACAATTTGAGGTCCTTATTGCCCCGATGGAAGCTCACTCAAATGTAGCACGAGGTGTGCGGACTTTTGGTCAAACCAAAGCCACTATCGATGATGTGTGGAAAGCCATTTCAGAAGACCATTACTGCTATGGCTCACCAACAAGCATTCGAAATGAATGGCAGAAAGTGGCGAACGTCTTCTTTTGGGTCCATGATATGTACGTGTGTATCATCAATACATTCGCATTATCTCGATTTTATTGCTAAATCGGTCGCAATTTAACCCCTTTTACCATACAAAATAAAATCCACTCAATATTTCGATTTGCTCGAAATCCTATCCTAAATCGAAATTATTTCAAATACAACCCTGATTTTCACCTAAAAATAATCGTTTCTCCCTAAAGTATGCTTTAAAATTATAAAATATTGATAATAACTGTCTAACAAAAACAGTATGTCAAGAATTAGTATACACAGTTTTTATTAAAAAATTGTATAAATGCGTATTAATTAATTAATGAATACAATTTTATTATTTTTTTATGTGAACATGAATATTCTAACTTAAAATGAATGACATAAAATAGACAATATTTATATAATTTCAATAGAAAAAAATAATTATTGTTAAACAAAAGCAATTGCAATATCACAGTACAGATTTCCATCGGTATTATTTACAACTTAATAATAAAGTTAAATATTGCATCAGAATTTGTTTACACTTTATGCGTGAGTTTGCTTGATGGGATAGACATCGTGAGAATTTGGCTCCCCACACAACGATTGCCGAGAAAAAAATTAATGTTGCCCACAGCAACAAAATGTTTTAGAGTTTATATTTAATACGTGGATACTAAATGTATATGTTTTTGGATTACATATGTTAAGAGTTGATTATGGACGACACAAATCAAAAAAAAAATTATAAAAAATTTAAAATTTTGGTCAAGTTATACACTTCTCAATACATAGATTAGTGCAAAAATATGTGCAGTATCAATTTGTGTGTACAGTCCAAATTATTTAAATAGTTTCGTATTCGAAATGTTCGAATTGTACCCTCTAAATTGTTGTTGAGTCTTGTAAAAAAGAACCTAAAGGATCCCATACACTATACATCATGCCGTACAGCATTTATCATAGTATTTGTTATTTTTTGAAAGTTTATTTATGTATGTGTGACACACACAATAGTTTTGATTTTGAAAAAGAAACCCTTTCAATCTGGTGAATAATATTGTTACGAATATAACTTTAGATTTAAGTTAATTTAGATGAATTCCGTTAATTTAAGAATTTGAACTGTAACGTAAATTTCTACTACGCAGTTCATTCGAATAACTTCACAACAACAACTACTGTATAGATTTTTCTACATCCTTCCATTTCCTCTTTCATTTTCTATTTTGTTGTTGACGTACAATTCTTGTTAAACGTCATCATTGATGATCGCTTAATTCCTCTTTCTTTGTTACTCCCTCGCCTGTATATGTGTTGTTGTTATTGTTCACCCAATGTAAGTTTGTATGTGTTTGTTGCATTGGTAGATTGTTCGTAATCTAGGTGTTACCAGATCGTCTAGAAACTTCTGTAGCGACAGGCAAGGCTCATATAAATAGAGGAAATGGCAAGGCAGTTAGTGAGTTGTGAATCAGATCGCGAATTGAAACCGTCAAGTAAAGTGCAGAGTAAAGTTGTGTCAATAAAATCATTGTAATATTCGTAATCAGAAAGAACCCGCGTTTTATTTGGTACGAACTGTATTGGGAAATAAAACAACGTCTACACGGGATTAAGTAAAATCCAAGAACGTAACAATATTCATTTTGCCCATAAATGGCACCATACACTATAAATCATGCCGTCATGCCGGTGAACCCCTTTTTGTATATGTGAGATTGACTAGTGTATGGCAAACTCTTCAATCACTATTCCAAAAAATCAATTTTTGTCCCAAAAATTGTATTTTGAGTCGTAAATTTAGTTGTTGTTTTATTCCGACACAATTCTATTACACTGTGCGACAAATTTGAATTTTTCTGATAATTACCGGGAAATTCCAACAGATTATGAAAGAGGGGCTAAAAAAAGAAGCCACGTGTATCGGCGTTTTGAAAGTTTACGTCGGGAGGTAACCTAAAAAGGGGAGACAATATTCCCCCTTTTCTAGAATTTTTATAATATATTGCTATACAATATTTTGCTATACAACTTTAACCCTCAACCGACTCATTAAAGGGGTCTTTTCGGTCCTCTTTTCCAGGAGTGATTGAAAACTCATTCAAAACGGGGTTGAAGCTGTTCAGAATATTCTACAGAAATGTTCGCCATAAAATTTTACTATAAGTCTCAGAATAGATTAAAACTCAAAAATCAGTCTAAACGTCAAAAATCTTAAAAAACAAAAACTCATTTTAGGGTTAATATCGTACTTATTACCAGTTTTTACCTATTTTTCCCACAAGATGTCGTTTTAGAAGGATAGTATAAGGGACAAAAATATTCTCCATCAATTTTTAGCATAAGTCACTGAACAAGACAAATCTTTATATATAATGTATATACCGAATATATAGTCATACGTTTTGAACCAACAAATCAAAATGTTCTTGTATTTTTTTACGAAGACATTTCCCAGTATTTTTTCGACTAAGTACATTAAAGTAACTCGAAACTTAAGTTTAGGTATATAATGTCAAAGAATAAAATATTCTACGTCAAAATCCGCTTCAAGTCTCAGAATAAACTATATATTTATATTCAATAGTTTTTAAGAAACCCCACAATATTAAAATATGGGGGTAACATTATGTGGAGGCTACCAGAAAAAGTGGACCGATATTTATTTTTTAGTGGAGAAATTGGGTACCCAATAAGAACGCAAAGTACCAAATCGCAGCGAATTCGGTTGAAAAATGCACTTAAAAATCCAAAAATACCGAAAAATTAGGGTTACCGTTATAGGGGGGCTACACAAAATATTTACTTATATTTATGATATTTAGTGCATAGATTTTCTACCTAATAAGAATCCAATGTATCCAAATACAACGCTCAACGAATTCTGTTGAAGAACGCGCTCAAGAACCACAAAATACCGAAAAGTGTGGGATACCCTTATATGGGGGCTATGCCTAAACGTAAACCATACAGCGCATCTTCGAATGCAAACAAAAGACAACCCTATGCAACATTTTCGCCTTCTATCTCAATTCCTTCAGAAGAGTGTGAATACAACAGAGGGACGGTCGGACATGTCTAGATCGTCTTAGAATTTTTCTCTGATCAAGAATATATATACTTTATAGGGTCGGAAATAAATATTTCGATAAGGTTACAAGAGGAATGACAAAATTAATGTACCCTCCATACTATGGTGGAGGGTATAATAAAAAAACTGGCAACACTGCACAAAATGCAAATTGGTGTTAAGCCTGAAATTATGCTACAATTTATGTTGCAACTTCACATACATACATATATACAACAATATTTTAAATGTGTCGATATTTACTGAAAACTTAGACACCATTATAAAATCATAAGATACTGAATTCATTGTTGCCATTTTTAAATTACATTATATTAGCTTTAAATTTGCTAAACTCTCCTCGTAAACAACCTGTCACAACAAACTGTACTACGCATTCTCCAACAATCAACGAAGGATGTGATAACAACAAAAACAATAGTGACGTAATATAATGAAAGCGGCTGCGGTAAAATGTAAACAAAAATCATATGTTTGGCCTTCTAATAAACAAGAACGATGACATTACACCAACCAACCAACCAACCAACAACCAAACGAACGAGCAGCAGCAAGCAGGAGCAGCTTTGAACAGTAGTCATGCATAGATT